AGATTGAAGGAATGTTCCTAGAACATTGCCGGATGTTGAAGTGCCGGGTAGCTGGTCTTTCCCGCTTCGGGGGGAGAGCAAGGGTTCTTATTTTTCTTCTTTAAGCAATATGCTTTCTTTTTATTATTAGAATTAATATAAATGAAAAATAAAATAAAATAAAAGCCATTTGTTTCTACTAATAAATAGCGATATTTGCTCGACTTGGGACTGATTTCCTCTGGCGTGTAAATGATTCATGCTACTCATATCGTCTATCCATTCAGTTTAACAAATCATACATTCCAATATTGCCATGCTTGTTTGGAGCCGCCATATCATAACACTAGTTATAAGCATCACTTTATACTTTTTTGCAGCTGCTTTAATGTCATAGCCTTCCTCTTCTCCTCTTTTTAGATGTTGACCATATGGCAATCTGGGTGTAGTATCACGCATTTTGTCACAACTATCTAATAACTATTTTTTTTTTTCCTGATCTTTTCAAACCTGATCGACCGATGTTGAAATGTTACGTTAAAAAATGTTAAAATGAAACCAGATACTTCAAAACTAGCTTTAGGCCACGAGTCGTTGGATCTTCCCTACTTAATCTTATACTAAAACTGGTTCCTTGGATATTATGCAAATCTCTTCAAAATGCTCTATTCATTGAGATGATTACAAGTGTGATATAAAAAAGCGCACTTTATTGCAAAAAGATGACCGCAGTGGCGCTTATTCAATTACAAAGATACCATAATTATCGCCTATAGACATGGAAATGATACTCATGTTTTCTTCTACCACATCTTTGAGTAAAGCAGGCAAGCGCTGGCTAGAAATTATTTCATGGCCGTTTTCCGACGTTTGTGTAAAAAAAGGGACCCCCCAAAAGAATAACTTGCCAGACTCAGTCATCACTAGTGAACTGTTGCAGCCGCAGGTGAGATTTATGATTTTTTCTGTGGGTACCCACAGGCTTGCGATAGGGTAGCCTATAGCATAGACCCGATTGCTAGTTATGTTGACTTTACTACCTGGATAAATAAAGCCTGGATACAAAGGGATACCCAATTGTCCTTCTTCACATCTACCAAAGACTACAAACGTATTATCGCTCATCAGAACTGTAGAACTATGATCACCAGCAGCGAGTGATACGATGTGTTTGATGTCGTAAGGTTCAAAAACGTTCTTGTGCTGTAGTGAGTTACTTTGTTCTTCATTGTTCTTCTTTCTAGAATTTGAATGCGCTTGGTTGCTTTCTTTACGTGGTTGTTCCTTGCCTCGTTTTGTTCCACGAGAAGAAGTACCTACATTATTCGTTCTAGAGTTGTCGATTACCACTCTCGCATTATCATCTTCCTCATTCTCTGATTCTTTCTTGATTTCGCGACTAGAGACGCTTGTATGGTGATGACTTCCATATAACTCTGGTAGATTCTTGCTCTGATAATAGTGCTGCTGTTGCTCTTTATTGATTTCATCAAAATAAGGGACAAGAGTAGGCTTCAGTATGAGACTGGGGGCATCTATAACCTTATCCTTCGCTATTCTTCGAGCAACACCACATTGTCCATAATTGTTTTGACCCCATGTATAGAGTTGGCCCTGATGATCTAGGGCTAGAGAATGAAAGGCACCACATGTGATACTGATAATGTCCTTCAAGTTTAACCTTTGTGGAGTCAAACTTTCTGTCAGCATATGTTTTTCAGACACTTTACGACCGAGCTGCCAGTACTCCCCGCATCCCCACGAATACACGCTACCGTCACTTGTTAAGCAGATACAATGATGCTTCCCAACTGCAATCTCCACGCAGACTTCATGGGCTAAAGCTCCCACAATGCGAGGATAACGCTGAATGTCTGTACCAGGAATATAGCCGAATGTTCCTTGGCTTGACTAGTATTGTTTTTTTTTATCATAAGGTTAAGTGGCGTGCATAATAGTAGATTCAGCATTTAAAACTTACCATAAATGTACCCCAGGTGAAGAGTTGTCCCTTGGAAGAGATAGCCATAGAGTAAGTATAACCACAAGCGATCTTTGAGAATTTTGTATATTTAATGGATACATGGTTGATAGGCTGAGGTATAGACTCACTACCCTCTCTTCCTAAAGCACCAAATTCATTACCTCCCCAGCTCCAAATCTAAGACAGGGCTTTTATTTTTGATCCAGAATACATTGTGCATGTTCCTTACCTTACCATTTTTGGTGAGTGCTAGTGAATGCATGTAGCTTGACTGTACATCGACAATGTCTTCATCTTTGAGAGCTTCAATCAATGTTAAGCGAGTTACACTTGTCGCATCATCACCGAGGCCTAATTCACCATACGCCTCACCCATACCAATAACATAGGCTTTTCCCGAAGGAACTGAGCTATCAACTAGATGAATAGAAGCGTTGGCATAAATTCACCAGGTTTGTGTCATAAGAGTATACTGTACTAGCTGGCATATCAATTTCCATTAGTATGTGTTTTTGTGTATAAGGATGAAGAAAAGACAATAGAACCTATTGATTTTTCTTTATTTAGTTTTACGGCACGTAAGATGATGCATAACCTATTTATGATAGATTACTCTCTCTATTAATCATTTTAGTAAAATAAAAGCTTGAATAGATGAACTCTGAGGCATAAGAAACAGTCAGGATGCTCGGCTAAAGGCTAGCTATATATGCAAACACTCGAATTGAAATGTGTTGTGTATCATCCGGGAACGAATAGTAAACATCTTTTATTTAGCGAGATACTGAAGCTGCGCTGAGTTTTAAAATGTACACAAGGTATCGTACTCATTGTTGTGTCTCTTTGATTGTAAATAAAAAGCATCAGTAAGTCTACTATTTCTAAAGATGACTGGAGTTATTGAAAACCACGTGTGAGAAAGGCGTGAAGACATTTCTTCTGCATGGCACACAACTTTAAGAGTAGAGTAACATTTTAATAAAGGATATTTCTGTCTTTTTGTCTATTGTTTATGTCAAAATTATACATATTCTCCCTTTATGTCCTCTTTCACAGAGATAAACGATCGCTGCTGCGCTCAACACTATCTATTTGACTCGAACAATATCTTTGGAAGCATATTCTTAAAAATAGTCCAATAAATGAAGGAGAAGGCGCTCTTCAAAGCCTTGGTCAATATCAAACGCGTGTAGATTCAAGGTGAATTACAAAGCTATGTTTTCACAAGCGGTGACTTGTCAAAGTAAAAAAGGAAAGTCTAACAAATTAAATAGGCTGGCTTTAAATTTTAACAAAAGCGATTGCCCAAAGCAGTCATTGTGTTTATTTTCAATTAAACCCTTTTCTCTTTTTCTTTTTCTTTTTCTTTTTTTCTTTGTTCATCCATGTCTTTTCTTCATAAAATTATTGATAAAGCAAAACATCATCAACCAAATAAGACTGAAGAAAACACCATGTATACACCTCATTCTTCTACTTCCTCTTATACTCAACCACCGCCACAACAACAACCACAACAACAGCAACAGCAAGATTTACCAAAAGTTCAAGAAGAGAACAATTATACAACTGGATATGTAACACCAAGACAATCCATGAATTCAAATCAACCCAACAACAATAATCATGCAGGTAAAAATAAAAAAAAAGATATCTCTTTGAATTATACAAAGCCTAAACAGTTTCATTGTAGAAAATAGTAAATACATTTATAAATAACGTGTTTATTTGTTTACTAATATATGCTATCATCACATATAGACGCGGACATTCATCACAATAGCAACGATAACACGAGAGCGACGTTAAAATGTCGATATCAACAATATGATGCAGCCATTATGGATCAACGTAAGAATAGACCCAAGTTGAAATTGGATGACTTTCATTTACTAAGAACCCTCGGCACGGGTTCATTCGGAAGAGTTCATCTGGCTCAATCAAGGCATAATGGTAGATACTATGCAATCAAAGTATTGAAGAAGACAGAAGTTGTCAGATTAAAGCAAGTGGAACACACAAACAATGAAAAACATATCCTCGAGTCTGTAGCAAACCCCTTCTTGGTTAACCTATGGGGCACTTTCCAAGATGATGCTAATCTCTATATGGTAATGGATTATGTTCCCGGTGGTGAGTTGTTTAGTGTCTTGAGGAAAAGCAAACGATTTCCAGACCATGTTGCAAAATTTTATGCAGCAGAAGTTACCTTGGCAATTGAATATCTTCACAATAAGAACGTCATTTACAGGGATTTGAAGCCAGAAAATTTATTATTGGACGCTAATGGACATATTAAAATTACAGACTTTGGATTTGCAAAATACGTACCAGACATCACATGGACCTTGTGTGGTACGCCTGACTACTTGGGTAAGTGATTTATGAAGAGTGTGTAATAATAATAATAATAATTTATATAGCTCCCGAGGTCATTCAGTCAAAAGGATATGGCAAAGCAGTTGATTGGTGGAGTTTGGGTATTTTGATATTTGAAATGTTGGCAGGCTATCCACCATTTTATGATGACGATCATCTCAAGCTGTATGAAAAAATCTTACAAGGCAAAATTCGTTGGCCATCTTACTTTGACCCAAATGCTAAAGATTTACTCAAGCATCTCTTAACCTCTGATCTATCTCGTCGTTATGGTAACCTCAAAAATGGTGCCGATGATATCAAAAACCATCCTTGGTTCCAAGGTGTTGATTTTGACAGAGTAGCTAATCGACAAATCAGAGCTCCTTATATTCCTCAAATACGTGGAGATGGTGATGCAAGTCACTTTGACAGGTATCCAGAGACAAACGAACAGTATGGCGCACCATGTCAAGATATTTACAGAGACAAGTTCCCTGACTTTTAATTTAATAAAAAAAACATGTTTACTTTCATACTTTATCAAGATTGGCTTAAGGATCGTCTTGATGCTATTTACTACAAGAAAATAAGACTTGTCACAAGCAAAAATGCTTACAAGGGCAACTACAGGACATTATCAAAGGTTATTGAATGAGAGCTTGGTTTGCAAAAGGCTCATGAATACATCATAGCAAAGAAATTGACGTTAACCACACATCAATTCAATAGCACTAGCTCTTGTTTCATACTCCCGAATACTTTAAATTCAGACAATGTTAGCTTTTTTCTGATAAATCAAAATTAATTTTCAAATGAATAGATTACCTTTTTTGGATAAAATTAAATGGGCATTCAAAAAAGAATTAGTTTTCAGACAAAGCAAAACTCGTATTCACGTCGTGATTCTTGGCACCTGAAAAATATAAAAAGCGAGTATTTTTTTTTCTCCTGGTTTTTTCTTTTTCAAATCTCTACAATTCAAGATGAGTACAAAATTTTTATATGAAGATGGACATGGGAATGCTGTTGATGAGAATGATGGTCCTGAGCCCATGGACTACATTGTTGATCAGAATGAATTTATTGTTGAGACTATTGCTGCTCATACAGAGTACTTGGGAAATGTAATCCCTAATGAATCTTCTCTAACTTGTCCAATGTTGTCAGAAAAGCCAAAAATTGATGATGTTCGTATGAAGGACGCAAAACCAAAACGAGACCATGTGCGTTATACAGTTCAGGATAAAGTTAGGTTTTTCGAACTGACGATTGAAAAATGTATGACTGCATCAGCTGCAGCAAAACAGTTGAGAATTCACCCTCGAACAGCTTATAGATGGATCAGCCAGTATAATATGTGTCCTGACAGTATTTTTGATAACTATAAAAAAGTAGGTCGTAAGTGTATCTTAATTGAAGAGCATAAAACAACTGTCATCGACTTCATTGATGCTAATCCCTCTGCTACTGTTGTTGAAGTGACTGAGCATTTATTAAAGCGATTTCATGACCTTAAAGTATCACGCAGCACAGTTAATAACTTTATGAGACGTGAGTGCAGCATTTCGTTGAAAAAAGCAGATTTTCATTCTATTGAGAGAAACAGTCCAGCAAAGATTGAGGAGCGATGCAATTGGGTTTCTAAATGGAAACGAACAGACATGAATTTCTTGGCGAATTGCGTATTTCTTGATGAGTCTGCTTTCGACATCAACATGAAGCGCTCAAGAGCCTGGCCCAAAAAAGGTACTCAAGCTATTGTTATCCGACCTACAACGAGAGCAAATACAACGTCTATATTGGGCGCTATCTCTGCTGTAGGTTTGATTGCAGTCGGTGTGAAGAAACCAAGCCTTGCAAAGAAGAGAAAGGCTGAAGGATACATAAGCTCAGGAGCTGTAACAGGCCATTACATCAGTCTCTTAAAAACGACTCTCGATGAAATGGACAAGCACCCACATATGAAAGGCCACTACATATTCATGGACAATGCACCCATTTATACGCATGAAAGCGTAAAGAAGTATATTGAGTATCGAGGATATAAATGTGTGTATCTTCCTACTTACTCCCCGGAGCTTAATCCAATTGAACAATTCTGGGCAGTAGCAAAGAGTAAGGTTAAGCGTCATAGATTTTTGCAGGAAGACACTTTGTCCAAGAGGATCACCGAAGCTTGCGACAATGTGAAGCAAAGCCATTTCAAAGGGTTCGTCTCGCATTCTTACCAGTGCTGGGATAAATGTCGAAACAGACAACCTTTGTAATAACCCAAACAAAAAAAAAAAAAAAACTCATAAAACTTCTTTCTAGAAATCAACCATGAGTATCGTGAGCACGTTCCGTGAGCATGTTTGTTGTATTTTGATTCGTTGTAGATTCTCTGGCATCATTGGATGCGATTCATGTGTAAGGTTGGATATCCCCTCTTAATGCTGTTGTATAGGTAGAGATAATAGGGGTCAAAGTAGGATACTTTTAGATCTGTTTTTCATTCTCTGGAAAGAAAGATGTCTTTCAATGTTTTAATTATTATATTAATTACAGTATATATGAGACTCGATCGGAGACTATCTGAGATTTATGAGTTTAACTTCAACCAATACATATGATATTTTCAATGCTTATATACGACAAATACCAACCTTTTACATAAAACACTCATTGACTACTCACTGACTTGTTTACCTGTCCCTACTATCTTTATATTTTTTTACTGTATATACAACCGTGAGGAAACAACCAAAGTACTTCGTTTATTGACTAATGAAAAAAATGATGGGATATATGTGAGGAGATAAAAGGATATAAGATCAAAGGGAGGGTAAAGAGTGTTGCTGCTTAGCTCGATGATACGCATTCTTCATGACTTCATAGTTGGTGTAATGCGTAATGATACCATGGCTTCGTCCTTCCTTCCAGCAATCATGCCAGTTCATACGGCGTCCGTTCAAGGCTACCTTAAACTCATCTACGAATTTGATGAGCTGATCTTTGCGTTTTTGAGAGTTGATCTCGTTGTAAGTTGTGTCGTTGGTCAAATTGCACTTAGGCACTTCAGATTCGTACATGGGTGTTACTGCACGGTTGCCGTCCATTGCCTCATCGAATTTCCTCTTCATTTTGATGCAGTAGGCTTCACCATCCTCAGAATATGCCACGGCACGATTTGGATTCGATGGGATCTCCTTGGTGATTTTCTTGAACTGCTGCCCCATCTCGTTCAATGCAGTAATTGCTGGCTCAAAGCCATCGCCATCTCGGACGTCACAGGGGAAGATGTCCATTGCCAAGCGGTACAAAGATTGAATTGTCTCGTCGTCATTGTGCTCTGTGTCGATGATACTGAGCTTGCCTGCAATAATGAAGTGGGCAAGTGCTGCTAAAGGCGGCAGTTTGTCATCTTTGTCAATCAAAGGCTGAATGGTGTCTTTCGTAATCATAATGAAGTCTCAGCAAAGGTGAAACAGGGGACTGCTTAACAATACGGCAAGTGATGGTGACTAGTGAAATTGTTTGAGATTGAAGTTGAGGCGATGCCGTTAGTACAAAAAACCACTAATATAGGCGAGGAGCAGAAACGGTCGTAGGTATTCAAGCAGTATCTGGTACTTCTACGTAAAAATTCCATATTCACAGTTCGTTGAAACTCGAGAATAATCGATGGTAGGCCTGACAAATTGGATGACACAGGAATATACAAGGCGTCACAATTGGTGCCGTCCTTAAAGAGCGTGCTTGTACTGACGTAGGTGCCAGGGAACATGGAAGATGGCGTTCGTAACTAAGTCGACCACTCGCTGGTCTTGAGCAATGTACTTGGTGAATATATATCTGAACCTGGTCTATGCTTGAGATCCAAGCGAAACAGCAACAAGCCTTCTGGTATCATGGAAAGTATAAAAAAAATTGCTCTCCTTTTTTTTTTTTTTTTTTCCCAAAAATTACAAAGAAAAGTGACTTCATTTCTAAAAGTATGACATTGATTTTGATTGGCTGTGTCATTACTTGCTGGAAGCACTGTATTTTCCTGTAATTATCTAAATGTCTAATTATAGACAAACTGTTTACGCTACAGTGATTGGTAATTTTTTGTTGTTGTTGCTTGTTTTTGGTCTTTCAAAAACAGTGAGTCGGCCATTTCCTCTCCAAATTACTAAAGAGATTGCCATATTTTTTGCAGCATTCACGTCTCGCTGTCACAGTGTATTGCAGGTTTTACACAGTACATTGTGACCGCGAGTGTGCTTTGCAGGTTTAAGAGTAATTATTTAGCAATTGCCGCGAGTCTTGGAGGTATTGAATTCATTGTTGGTGATAGTAAGAAGGCCACCCTCTCTTTTCCGCTTTTTAAGGGCCTTCCACAACTTCTCTGTTACTCCACAGTAGTTACCCCTTAGCCTGACTAAGTCCTTCCCAAACGCTCCGTCCCCAAAGACGACCAACGGCACCTTTCTGTTTTTTTCTGTATACGGCAAAGGTTTCCATTTATTCAGCCTTCCAAAAAAAAAAGTTAATATCACCAACAAAAAAAAGACTAGTTGCTTATTTTGTTGACACATTGGTTGTAGCCTTGGGGGCAGCTTTCTTCTTTTTCTTGTTCTTTTTCTTCCTTTTTCTTCGTCCTCTGTTATACTTTGCGCCCCCAGACAGTATATGATTGGTAGGAAGTTGTCTTGTAGGATGGCATCTCACTTTCAATTGATTCAATCTGGTTTTCTTTTTTCCGTCGTCTCTGGTCAGTCTGGTATCTGGTAGATCCGGTCATATGATAATATTCATGGGTGGTACATCGCAGTAGACTATGAGCTTTTGTGCTTACACCCTCTGCCGCTGTGAAAACAGTCTTTCTCCTAGGATCAATAAAAGCGACCTGTCACTGTTTTGTACTTTGTCGATATCAAAGTTATGTAGTTTGAGCTCAAGATCTACTTCGTTCATTATTGCACGATTGGTTGATCTTTTGTAAAATAGAGTCAACAGAGAAGCCGTTCGATTTAATTATATTGCCAAACATGACATGATTGTTTTCGTATGGTTCAAGGTCGTCGCTAAAATACAAGGTTAATGGTTTCCTGATAAGATGTCAACATTTTTTGGCAACGATCTATAATACCATTTATATTTCAAGGCAGCACATTCTATCACACTTTCAAAGAATGAGAGCTGATTATCATACCCTTCTGACCTTGATCAAGATACAAATGGTTCCAACGCGTTTGAGTTAATGGTGATTGATCTGAAATGCAAGGATGGCTTCGGAAATACTCCAAATAGTCATAGCAATGAGAGTCGGCGCACATCATAGGGTTTGTGGTTTCGATGTTCAACCTCGTATTCGGATAAGATTTGACGAAGAACACGTATGTGTTGTTCTGGTTGGCGACTGAGAGTTTGTAAAGTAACTTTGTTTGAGAGCAGTACTTTGAGTGACTGACAAAGATCTGTAATTAACACTTTTTGTTATTCCTGCAGTCTTGTCGCACAACTTGGCCAATGCGGTTCCTCGCCACAAACGAACTGATAGCAATATTTAGCCGAAATGTCAGAAATGTCATTCGGATGTACGTTCTACATATGAGAAAAGCATGAATTCTAGTTTTCCATTTTTTAAGAAAAATAAATACAAGATGTGACAATTTATCATGAGTAAATTCTGCAGTTTGTATTTAAAAAATACAGCAATCGTTGTTCAACAATATGGTTGTTGTAGCACGTCTCCAGCTCTTTGCAAGCTTCGGCGAGACATTAGCTAATCCCCTTTATCAATTTTTGCTGATACACAGAACTTGGATTTGTGTCTTTAAAAGCATCCCAGTATGATGTGAGGTCTAATGATGTATTGGCGCTATTCGTTATTTTCTTTCCATTGACCAGTTGGCGCACTGAGTACCAATATTGTTGTGTGAAAATAGCGTGAGGTATGAAATCATGGGATTTCGACAAACAGTAACTATTAGTCAATAGCATCGCCCTGGATACGATATTGCGGATGTCTCTTGAACTGACAATAATCTTGTTTTTGAGTATCTCTCTGTAATCACTCTTGACGATAGAGTCCAACGGAAGTTTTCTAGTGAAAGCTATATATGGAAAGCCAAGGTTTCTTGCAAGCACTTCATTCTTTGCAAGATTGTGATTGAGACATAAACGGGAACGTGACGTACTGTGTCCACTTACTTTGTTGACAGCTTTTGCAAATTACTGTTGAGTTTGTCCTCTCCTTTTGTTGTTTGGATTGCTGTTTAGCTTGCTTGAAACTTGAGTTTTGCTTTCTTTTTGTTCCACTAGATGCTCCAACTAACAATAGAAATATCATTAGCATAGTAAATATTTCAATATGAAAGACACAAGTGAAATACCATCATCAACTGAAGCTTCCTTATAAAATCTACGTTTGTAATATTTTTTATTCGCGTGTCCTCTCTTGATAATCCTTATATATCATATCTATACAAAAATTACGCTATAAGTAATATAGACTTATTTGACTTTATTACTATCTTTTACCTTTAAACGGATTATCTACGTTTTCTTCTTCAAGCTTCATTTTATCGAGAACTGATAGTTTCTTTTCGAGAATGAAATTCTTAAACATGTTGTTGAAGAAAGATATTCAAATTTACCAATTTATTTGATATTTATTTTATATAGAAAAATGTGACAGTTCCTGCATCACGCATTCTTCTTTCGTTGAAGAAATCGTAGAGAGAACCCATCCGAATTGACAATAGTACTAGGAAAAACCCCTCCCATTATAGACTGGAATTTCTTATTCATATTATTAGCGCTATTACAGCAGAATCCAAGACAAACAGCAAAAAAAGGTAGAATTGAATTGCCAAAGATTAGCCATAGTAAACAAGGTATCCTTACTAAAGAATAAGATTATTGTACAGATCAAACATGTAAAATATCAATGTCTATTGTCTGAATCCAAAAAAGGTAATCTATTCATTTGAAAGTTAATTTTGATTTATCAGAAAAAAGCTAACATTGTCTGAATTTAAAGTAGAAATACTGTAACATAGTGTGTTGTAAATTTCAAACTACGATTAAAAATCGAGAAAAGAGAGAATTACATCTTTTGTGTCTTCATTTCACCTGTTACTGAAATGAATGTATTAGTGGATACCCGATGGCGAAAGCTAGCATGGCAACGCATCATTATTTATATAGCATGCTCTATATTTCTTTTACATTTCTTTAAATCATTCTCTGCATCTTCTTCTTCTTCAGTTTCATTGACAACTCTTCCTTGGTATCAACAGCCTCATCCGGGAATGCCTTCGTTCAATCAGCATGTCACAGTCAATCTTACCCAACATGAAAGAGAAAAGCTGGCACAAGACATGATTGCAAAGGCATCTAGCCTTGTTTCTCGTGCATTTCCTGATATACAAACCACAATCATGGGAGCTTCCTTAAACCAAGAACAAGTCCAACAGTTTAGATCACTAGTTGAATGCTGGACATCATCAGGAAAGTGGGTTAAAATGGACGACCCAGTCAAAGTAATGCCTCATTTTCAAGATCCTTTATATGCAAAATGTGATCGAAAGTACAAGGGAGAAGGACAAAGAGATGCTGTTCGTTATGTTTGGCAATCAACTTGTGAACCGATCAAGAACAACATGGATCATAGTGTAAACAGAGACAGATGGTGTAAAGTGTTGAATGGAAGACATATTCTCGTTGTAGGAGATTTGGTGCAGTATCAATTGCATGAAATCTTTTTGAATACCTTCAGAGACGGTCCAACCGTTTGTTTTGGAGAATTGAATTGCAGAGGTAATGTGATAAAAAGTTCATTAGGTGTATTCGTATGGCTAAAAAAGAAATATTCCACATTAGAGCATACATTGTGTAATGAGCCATACCAGGAGACTCATCTAAAGTACCTTAGAAACGACCGATTGTCAAATAATCAGCATACAAACATAAATCAAGGATATCCCAAAGTAGACATCATTGAGATGCCTTTTGCAAAGCCATCCTTTGGAAGGGGTTATCCCATCTTTATTTTGAATCGATCACCAGTCCATGAAACAGATGAGGAATTCATAAAGGGATTAATTGAGACAATGAAGACAATTCGTAAGAATAATCCCAATACACTTGTTATCTATAGATCGTCATCCATTGGACACCCCTTCTGCGATGACGCTGAAGGACCTATCGAAGGCTTGACAGATAGTGATTATAAGGTATTACCGTTTGGCTGGAGCGAAACAAAGCGACGAAACCTTATTGCAAAGACAATTATTGAAGGAGCAGGCGGTGTTTATGTTGATTTGGGAGCATTGACCGACTTGCGTCCTGATGGACATGTTGGTGGACAAGATTGTCTAAGATACTGTATCCCTGGGCCTTTAGATAGCTGGATGCATATTTTATACCAAGTATTCTTGGCTTTGGACGGAAAGATTCCACTTGAAAAATAAAATAATCGTTCATGACGTATTTTTTATAAAAGATACTTGGTTAAATTTAATCCCGATTACTGCACTCTTTCTCTCTCTGCTTTAGAATCATGTCAGATTGGGATGCATTGAGAAGCTTCTTACCAACTAGCTTTGGTAAACAGGAAGAAAAGAAAGATTTCACTCAAGAGTTTGAAAAGACAAAGCGAGAGGTACGCACAGTTAATCCATTATAGATCTAACCATTTATACAAAAGGCCGCTGCTGCGAAATCTAAAAAGGATCAATCCAATGGAAAGAAGGATGAGCAGAAAGACAACAAACCCTTAGAAAAACAATCTGACGATGAGGATGAAGAAGAGGATGAAGTAGAGGATGCAGGATACAGCTTTTCTGAATCACCTCCCATTTCTCACGAGATCAAGCTTAACGATCACTTCCGTGCTGTTTCAGCACTTACCCTCGATCCAGCAGGAGCTAGATTGATCACTGGAGGATATGACTATGATGTCAAGTTTTGGGATTTTGCGGGCATGGACAGATCTTTCAAACCTTTTAGAACCATTCAACCTTGCGAAGACCACCAGATTCACGAGCTTCAGTACTCTCTCTCGGGTGACTCATTCCTTGTGATTGCTGGAAACAATCGTGCTAAAATATTCAACCGAGATGGCTTCGAGTTGAGCGAGTATGCAAAAGGTGATCCATACATCCGTGACCTGCGACACACGGATGGTCATGTAGGTGCTCTCACGAGTGGTACATGGCATCCTATTGATCGTCAGTATTTTGCTACATCCTCTCAAGATGGAACTGTTCGTGAATGGGATGTTGAAAAAGTAAGAAAGCAAAAGACGACAATTGTATATAAATCACGCGAAAGAGGAGGTCGTTCGGCTTGTACTGCCCTTGCTTACAGTCCAGACTCAAAATTGATTGCTGGTGCATATCAAGATGGAACACTTCAGTTTTGGAATATGACAAGCAACCTTTTGAGGCCAGCAGTATCCATTGCAGATGCTCATCAAAAGGGCACAGAGACAGCATCTGTGTTATTTTCAAAGGATAATCATACTGTTGTCACACGGGGTGGTGACGATTCTGTAAAATGTAAGTATAAATGATAATAATAACGCCATTATTTTATAACATGCTTATATAGTGTGGGATATCCGTAATGCCAAGAAGGCCGTAAAGACAGCTTATGGATTGGATATAGTGAACCCTGAAGTGAATGTTATCTTTAGTCCTGATGAAAGATTGATCTTGACAGGCACATCTTGCCCCAAGGGCAAAGGATTCGGTAAGCTGGTCATGTTGGATAGGGATACACTTGAGATACGCGAAAGCATAGGTACGTTCAAAATGATTGTTTACAATTCGGCTCTAACACTTTATATAGATGTCAATCAATCGAGTGTTTTGAAGGTGCTATGGCATCCTCGCATTAATCAAATCATTACTGGTAGCGCTGATGGAACTGTTAGTGTTTATTACAGTCCAGCTCATTCACATCGTGGTGCCAAACTATGTGTAGTGAAGGCAGCTAAGAAGCGGGCGGTTGATGATTATGAAGTGGAACGACCTATTATCACCCCTCATGCATTACCTATGTTTAAGGAAGACGAAGCAAGAACGAGCAATAGAAAGAAGGCCAAGTTACGCAATGATCCCAAGGCATCACACAGACCCGACCTTCCTGTCAGCGGTCCTGGTAAAGGCGGTCGTGTCAATATGAATCAGCAACAAGCTGTTATTAAATCATTTGCTAAAGATACCACAAGAGGTAAAACTAATGATTCGAAAAAAAAAAGCTATAAATAGTCTAACATAAACTAGATGAGGATCCTAGAGAGGCGCTTCTCAAGTATGCCAATGTTGCTGAGAATGACCCCGTTTGGGTATCTAATGGTAAATATCTTATGCTTTATTTATAAAATACCATTAACTCTTGTCTATTATTATTCTAGTCTATAAAAAGACACAACCCAAGCCTATCTTTGCTGAAGATGCCGAAGAAGAAGAAGAGGAGGAAGATAAATAAATCATTTTCGTACATAAAGCAAGAACTCATATTCAAAATCCATATGTCTTTGCTTTCCTTTTGGGATATCGTTTTCTTGTATATATTCCTGCAACTCATCATGTGTGGCTAGTCTGTATATATTAAGGTCAATTTCTGGCATAAATGTATCACATAGAACAGGAGTAGAAGAGTGATCGTATATGTTTGTGATGAGGATATGTGTGCAGTCTGATAGTAGGATACCATCTTCATACACCTTTTGTCCTCCCAATAAGAATATTCGTGTGTCTTTCTTTGCTAAAGCTTGTGCCATTGCAAAAGCTTCTTCCAAACTTGAAGCCAAAGTAGCGTCTGGGTGCCTGAGAAAGAAGATTAGCAACGTAAGAAGAAAGATCACGTACATACACTTTATAGTTCTTATTCTTCGATACAATGATGTTGAGACGATTGGCTAATGGAATTCCATTCATTGGAGAAGACTCATATGATTTACGACCCATAATGGCAATGTTACTCCAGGCTGTTGGATCTGTTTTATCTAATGGCTGATCACCGTATGATTTTGTGGTAACATGTTCAAAGTATTGCCAATCTCCAGGAATACTCCATGGTAGTGCATTATTAACACCTATTCCACGAGTTTTAACCAACACTGCTGCCATTATGGCAAATGTCTTCTTATCAATGGTCATCGTGCCAAAAAAAAAAAAAAAAAAGGTACGGCTTAAACTCAACAAAAGACAAATCAAGAAGGGGCTATGCATTCACACCATATAAATATTTAAAACTGTGTTTTCGTTGATGAAGCCGGTTATAATCTGGATGCCCAGAAAAACTTTGGGCGTTCATTAAAAGGTGTAGTACTCACAGGTAAGGCGTCACATTCACAGCTTTAGGTGTAATATCTCAAGCTGGCATCATCGACGTATCAGTTAAAAGGCTGACGGTAAGGAAGTAAAGATAAATGCTAAGGTTGGGACCAGAACTGAGCATTACACATCTTACTTACCCAATGCCATGAGTGTCATGGATAAAAATGGCATGAAAGGTCATTATATTGTAATAGATAATGCATCTATTCATAAGCTTAAAGTGATTAGAAGAGTGATTGAAGAAAGAGACTACAAATGCCTATATTTACCACCCTATTCACCTTTTTTATATTCAATCGAGGCGTTTTGGTCAAAACTGAAGGTGAGTGTTAGAAAAACACCATTAAACGCTAATAATCGACTGACGGATTATATTTGTTGGTCAGTTGGAAAAGTACATCTTTTTGTCTATTTTTTAGTGTAAAGTGTGCTTGATTAAAAATAAGCGCCCTTTGACGGTCATTTTAACTGTAACTTTCTTATTGGCTCAGACCCATTTGTATTCCGAATGGAGGTGTGTAAAATAGAGCTACATTATCTTTTTTTCTCTCTTCTATAAAGAAAGGAAACACTATTGTGTTGTTTGATATAAAAGCTTGAAGAAAGAGAGAAAGAAATAAAAGAATATAGAATAAATCATACAACATACGATGGCTACTGACCTTTGTTATACACTTGTTTGTCAAGACGACGCGACAGAAATACCGTCCTTACAAGAGTTTCAGCGAGCTTTTGAAAAGGGCCCAGATGAGACACGCATCGAGACGATGAAAAAGTTACTTGTGATCATGCTTAACGGTGATCCCATGGAAAAACTCTTACTCCATGTCATTCGTTTTGTTTTGCCCTCAAGAAATAAGCAGCTCAAAAAGCTCTTGCAATTCTATTGGGAAATTTGCCCCAAGACCAAGCCTGATGGAAAACTTAAGGACGAGTTTATCTTGGTTTGGTAAACGAAGAAAAAGTTGTCACTTGATAACTGAACTCACCCATTTATATAGTAATGCTTTGATGAACGACCTTCAACATCCTAATGAATATATTCGAGGTTCAACGCTGAGATTCTTGTGTAAAATTAAAGAAGCTGAATTACTAGAGCCTCTCGTACCTTCTGTTAGAGCCTGTCTGGAACACCGTCACTCTTATGTACGAAAAAATGCTGTATTCGCTATAGGATCTATCTACAAATCATTTGATATGCTCTTCCCTGATGCTCCAGAAGTCATTGAATCATTTTTGCTTTCGGTAGGTTCAATCACACTACTTTGCTTTCTTTGATATTAAGAGCAACATATAGGAAGCAGACATGACCTGTAGACGCAACGCATTTGTTGTGTTATCCAACATCGACCACGATCTTGCTGTTCAATATTTGCTCCAAGTTATTGACAGCGTACCTACTTTTGATGAGTTATTACAATTAGCGGCTATTGAACTCATCCGTCAGGACTCAAAGACCAACTCTGCCAACAAGGTATATACTATATTTATAGTATTCTATAAATCATGCTTATAACAGACTATTGGTCCATAGGCAATCTATATTCGTTGCTTGTCTGAACTCTTGACCGCCGCATCACATTCTGTCAAATACGAAGCTGCTTCCATCCTTTTATATTTGACATCAAGCTTTGCTGCTGTTAAAGGTAAGTGATGTGATATGTTGTAGAGTTGGTTATCTCATGTCTATATAGCTGCTGCTTCTTGTTACATTGAGCTCATTGTTAAGGAATCTGACAACAATGTCAAGCTTATTGTTCTTGATAGACTTGAAGAAATCAGAAGCAAACATGAGGGTGTATTAGAAGACCTTGTGATGGATATCTTACAAGTGCTGTCAAGGTAAGTCATTTAGACTTCATAGAAGCAGTTTAATTGAACATCAATAGTCCCGACATTGATGTCCGTCGAAAGGCACTGCGTATCGTTTTGGAAATGGTTTCTTCAAGAAACGTACAAGATGTCGTTCTTTTCTTAAAGAAAGAATTGACAAAGACACAAGATGATGCATATGAAAAGGTAAATACATAAAAAGTCGCACAGATACAAAATCTTACACATTACTTTAGAACACAGAATATCGTCAATTGCTCATTCAGTCCATCCACACTTGTGCCATCAAATTCTCTGAAGTCGCAGCCAATGTTGTCCATGTCCTAATGGAATTCTTGGGCGATTCTAATAACCCTGCTGCTGTTGATGTTATTTCTTTTGTTCGAGAAGTAGTAGAAAAGTTCCCTACTTTGAGAGAATCCATCTTGGAGAAATTGTTGGATACATTTAGTGATATGAAATCAGGCAAAGTTTTCCGCGGTGCGCTCTGGATTATTGGTGAATACTGTGAGAGTGTGAAGGAGATTGATGACGCCTGGAACCAGATTCGTCATGCTTTGGGTGAAGTTCCTTTGCTTGCATCTGAACAGAAATTATTGGACGCTGCTGAAGCCGATGCTGAAGAAGGAAAGGAAAGTGGTGAAAAACCCTTGGTTCCTACAGGAAGTGCTGCTCCTCGTCGAATCTTGGCTGATGGTACTTATGCGACAGAAAGCGCCTACACAGAATCATCATCTGCTGCTGCTGCTCGGCTAGAAGCTGTAAAGGCAGCCAAGAAACCACCTCTTCGTTCTCTTATCCTTGCTGGCGATTACTTCCTCGCTACCATCCTTTCGACAGCCCTTACTAAACTCGTGCTTCGTTATGCCAAGCTTGTAGACGACGCCACGCTTGCCAATGCTCGTAAAGCAGAGGCTATGTTGATCATGACTAGTATCCTGCGTATTGGTCAATCTAAATTTGTTGCCTTTGAGATCGACGAAGACTCATACGATCGCATTATGCAAGATTTACGTGTCGTTGGCTCCGCTGACAGTTCCACTGTAGACCGTGTTTACCTTGAAGAAACGCGTGAAGCATATGCTAAACAGCTTCAAGCTCAAGACAAGCGCTTAGCCGATGCCAAGGCAGAAAGCGAAGTGAGCACTCAAATCCAAGCCGACGATACGATCGTGTTCCGTCAGTTTACAAAGAAATCAGGAGGTAATGCGGATGAGTACGACCAAGACTTGTCTCGCGCTACGGGCACATTAGATGACAAGGACGATCTGATGTCCAAATTGAACCGTATTGTCCAGTTGACTGGCTTTTCTGACAAGGTGTATGCTGAAGCTGTCGTTAACGTTCACCAATATGACATTCTTATGGACGTCTTGATTGTGAATCAGACAAATGAAACCCTACAAAATCTGACAGTTGAATTTGCCACACTGGGAGACCTTAAGCTCGTTGATCGTCCTACGACGCATAACTTGGCACCCCATTCATTCCTAACGGTCAAGGTGCCTATCAAGGTATCCTCTACTGAAACAGGAGTGATATTTGGTAATATTGTGTATGACTCTCATGGATCAAGCGAGAACTGTGTTGTGTTGAACGACATTCATATTGATATTATGGACTACATCAACCCTGCCTACTGCACGGAGACTCAATTCAGATCTATGTGGACCGAATTTGAATGGGAAAATAAGGTGAATGTGAACACAAATATTAGGTAAGGGAACTTGTTCATTTGCTAGACTTGGCTAATAACGTATTTTAGTGATTTACGCGCCTACTTGCAACACATTATGAAATCAACCAATATGAACTGCTTAACACCCAAGAAGCAGCTTGAAGGCGACTGCGGCTTCTTATCAGCTAATATGTATGCTAGAAGCATATTTGGTGAAGACGCATTAGCCAATCTGAGCATCGAAAAGAACGGTGACGGACCGATCACTGGACACATCCGTATTCGCTCCAAGACACAGGGCATTGCATTAAGTCTTGGTGACAAAATTACGCTTGCCCAAAAGGTTGCAGCTTAATTATAATAAAACTTTATCTACATTTTTATTATCTCAAAAAACCAACACTAATGTGACAGATTGGCCATCTTCATCATCCTCAGTCTGTACTAATATATCTTGCTCTTCTTGCATATCCTTCACAACGTCATCCTCCATGCGGACAACAATGGATTTCTTATTAGATCGTTTGAACTTTCGAATAACTTTGCTGACAGGTTTCTTTATCTCACTACGTTCAACTATCTTTTCCGTTAATTCTTTAACTGTCAGATGTTCTAAATAGATAGCTCTGTAGACATCGTCTGATTCAAACTTGACCAACACACTAAGCTCTAATGGCCCAAGTGTGAGTAAAGGGCATTAGCAATATGAATATTTTTTTCTCTCTTACTTGCGATACGTCTTCTTCTCTGAGGTACATAGGAAGGATCGTAGCCTATGGGTACTTGTGCAGGGTAAGGATAATGCATATCCACAGCAGGAGCAGGTTGAAAACTTGTACTAAAACTTCTTCGCATGGGGCCGGGCATAAAATTTACTGGAGCAGGTACTGGAGAAGGTAATGGCAAGAGGACGTTGTTACTGCTTGGAGAGGCAATTAAGCCGCGTCTATGCATATCTTCTGCCATGTCTTCTTCTGGTGTAACTAACTCTCTGAATACCGTCACGGGAGACGTTGGAGAATAAGCCAGCCAGAGGGGATGAGGTTCGCCGTTTTTCCCGCGAAGCTTTTCCAATTGTCGTTCAATATGTCTTGCGTCGTCCTTATTTTTCCTTTCCGCACCCTTAAATCAATGTAAGCTTGAGTATGACAAAAGAATTAAATCTTACTTTGTCACGAAACAACTTTATTCTGCAGTATGTTTTTTCGACATGAGGCATGCCATGTTGATAACTTTCGATTTGTAGACGAAGAGGTATACCTTTGACACCTTTGATTCTAGAAAAGTCTGTAGAGAGACAGTTGAACTTGACATAGATGGATGCACCTGTTTTTCCATTCCAACGAAATACAATGCGATCAAATTGCCTGTGTTCGATAATATGGATGCCATTTGACCTTGAGATGTCTATTAAAAAATGATTAATAATTAATAAAACAAATAATAAACAAACAATAACCTAAATCAATGGCCTTTGCTTTTTCTGCATTATTTTGATGAGATAACCAAAACTTCCAATAGTCAGTTGCACCAGCGCGGTGTGCTTCATCATGGAAAGTGATAATGGCTGTACTGATAATGTCTCCATCATAACTCTTGACATCCTTCAAGGTGATATTATAGTGTTGACCTGAAACAAAAGGTTAAATGAAGATAAGGTTTCATTATATCAATTTAACCTTTATTTAAATAAGTCAAGGGAGGTTCATCAATTTTCTGAGCTGCGGCTGTTGGGGCTGTCACATAAAATCAGTCACTTGAAACTGAAACATATTATTATCACCACTAGGGTTACCTTCTAAACAAATGTCATAGCGTATTGAACTATAAAATGTCGTCAATACACTTCCATTCAACGTGTGTAACACTTTTAAAAAAGTAAAATGCATGGTCTGCGTGGGTTACACAGGCCGTGTAGATGATCGGATTACTTTCCGTTTAAAAAAAAGTACCTGACAGAGTTTAATGGTGGCATATGAGATTGATCCATGGTAACATTTTGTTGCATGGCAACAGATTTCATAGGATAACCGAAAGGACTAGTGTAGTTTGAAAATTAAGAAAAAGGAAAAGAAAGAAGAGAAAAAGATATTTACTGTCCTTTATAAAAATTTCTCGTAAGCATATCAAGTAACAATCTTGTTTGTATAAGAAAGAAAAAAAAAAGTATAAAATTTGAATAACAATCCTCCTTAAATGTGACTTTTAAAGAAAGAGAGAGAGAGGGGGAATAGAGATAAAGTGTATTCATGCGCATATATAAACTCTGGAGTGTGTATCATACGATTTATTATTATTATTTGTATTATTTGTATTACTATTTCTATACATATGTGCTATATACACATATATAATCTTGATTGTACTACTTTTACCCTTTGCTGCTACTACTCTTTATAGTGCACGGTTGCTATTGTCCACGTGATTTATACAATATCCGCACAGCCTTTTTTTTTTTATCACATACACACATGCATACTCTATTGCATACTTTTCTTTTTTTTTCTTTTTTTTTTTTCTTTTTTCTTCTTTCTGTCTTTATATAAAAAAAGGGGACCTAATTGAAATAAATAAAAAGAGAGAAAAGGTATTTGTTGTTGGTGGGACGCGTAAAAAATATTTTTAAACATTATCAAATAGAGAAATACCCTCTTCTTTTTTTTTTATTTTTTATACAACATGTCAGTTTATAATCATCGTCCAATGGTGCCAACACCACAAAGTCGCATTGTTGAAATGCTGGATTCAATAAGAAATGAGTTTGATCAGTTAGCACAAGAGCTTTATGTTTGCAAAACTCAAAGAGATGACTTTGAGCATAAAAGTATAAACACTGTGTTATTATTACCATCTTCATCATTTTAACCTTCTTCTTTAGTGAACCAACAAATCTCAGAAATGAATAACTTTCAGCAAAGCTTACTTGAGTTGGAACGTACTCAGCAAAATCAAAAGAAACAGTTAGTAGAATGATGTATAGCAAACTCCTCCTTTCATTATTAAACATCTTGATAGATATGAAGAAGAGATTGCTCGGCTTCGTCAACAAATTGAATCACGAATGTCTTCTGGCCCTTCCGGAATGCCATTACATCCTCTTCCTCAACAGCAGCAACAACTTCCACATCAACCTCCTCCACCTCCTCCTAATATTGGTCCTGGTTCAAATTACTTTGGTGGTATTATGAATGCCCATACAAACCAAGGTCCGCCTGGTCTAGTCGCTCCATCTCAAATACCCGAACGATCGCCGAGCCAACATTCTCAGCAATCTCCTCATTACTCTTCTCAAGCGCCACCGCCACCACCATCTTACTTGAACGGTCAGCAAACGTACTCACCTAACAGAGGTATACCCACCCCACCCACATCAGGTCATCCCCAGCGACCTGATTGGGGTAACTATGGTTATCGACCTGGCTCTTCAGTTCCGCCTGCCGCGGTTCCACCTGAGTCTGTAGGATCGAAGCGTAAATCAAATTCATCTTCTTCCAGCGCTCCCTCTGGTCAACAGCAACAACAGCAACCACCACCCATGATGGCGCGTGCTCCACCTAATAAGATATCAAGCCCATCAACCACCGGATCTGGAAATTTGGCTGACGTTGATCCTGACAACGTGCCTGCAAATATGAAAGTAGAAGGTCAGGATTGGTTTGCCTTGTAAGTTTTCATTCATTTTCATTTACACACACATCTCTCATGGGTATCTCATAGATTTAACCCTAAAACTCCTCGCCAATTGAAAGTGGATCTAGTCCATACTATGGATCATACAAGCGTTGTTTGCTGTGTCAAGTTTAGTGCAGATGGTCGTCTTTTGGCTGCTGGTTGCAATCGTGCTACCTTCATTTATGATGTAGCCACCTCTCAACGTGTGGCGTAAGTACTTGTCTATTTATCTTTTTAGACAGAAATTAACATATCTTAGTGTTCTCCAAGATGAAACTATCAAAACTGAAGGCGATTTGTATATTCGATCTGTTTGCTTTAGTCCTGACGGAAATTACCTTGCTACGGGAGCTGAAGACATGCAAATTAGAGTAAGTCAGCCCTGCATTTTTACGTTTACAAATATTAACAAATAATAAGGTGTGGGATATAGCCAACAAACGTATCAGAAATGTACTAGTCGGACATCAACAGGACATTTATTCGTTAGATTTCAGCCGAGACGGACGCTTGATCGCATCCGGCTCAGGTGATTGCACAGCAAGAATCTGGAGCATGGCAGACGGTAAATGTCTTCAAGTGCTTCGAATTTCGGATCATGATCAAAAAGATCCTGGAGTTACCAGTGTTGCCTTCTCACCTGATGGACGTATTATTGCAGCAGCTAGTTTAGATAAAATGATCAGAATTTGGGACACTCAGAGCGGCATTCTACTCGAACGACTTGAAGGACACAAAGACAGCGTATATTCTGTTGCATTTATGCCAGATGGCAAAATGCTTGTCAGCGGAAGTTTAGACAAAACGTTGAAATTGTGGCAATTGGGTACAAACGAAGGGCGCGGTATGGGAATCGAAAGAGATAGAGGTAAAGGACCATGTAAGGTTACTTTTACCGGACACAAAGATTTTGTTTTGTCTGTCGGATGTACTCCTGACGGACGTTGGGTCGTATCTGGATCAAAAGATCGAGGCGTCCAATTCTGGGATCCACGTACGGGACAGACACAGTTTATGTTGCAAGGACACAAGAATTCAGGTAATTTGAGAATAGGTTATGTTAACGTTGATACTTACTTTCATTCTAGTTATTTCTGTTGCTATAAGTCCATCCGGAAAGCCTTTATTTGCAACAGGATCTGGTGATAACCGCGCAAGGATATGGAGTTATGATTCCATTGGAAAAGGATATTAACAATTACATTTGAAATAAGTTGTTACTTTTATTTCATACAATCACGCTTTTATTTTATTTTATTTTTTCTTGCCTTGCTCACTTCATAATAAATCAACTGTTCATTTATAACTGCTTAGTGCACGGATTGGTCACATGACATATTTGAAGCAGTAGAGACTTTAAGAGTAGAAGAGTGATACACTCATCATGTATTTTAATAATCTCTTTTATATTTATATTCATTCTAATATTGGATGATCAAACGACTGTTTCAGTAAACATTAGCAGGATCCTACAATAGTTTTATGACTCAAATCTTTTATGGTAATGGTAGTACGAGCAGGAGCCACTTTAACCTGAAACAGAGACAGCGCCACTGGAGATGAGTTTCTGTTCATGCAACTTTTGTTCACGTGAATTGCAGATCCATCCTAAAATACGCTGCAAAGTCACGTTACTCTTAATTTGACTGTACTTTTTTTCAAAGTACTTTACAGTGTATGAGCTTTAATAAAATTGAAACGACTAAATGAACCCATTACACACTCCATTGCCCAATTCCCTGACTACGATGTAATAGAAGAGTCTGTAGCTATTTACAGTGAAGAAGAGGGCGGAGAAAGCATATAGAGAAGAACACAAAATGATGCGAGCATACTCGTATTGTTCGATATATATGTTGTAACAACCAGTAATACACCTTTCATGATATCTATCACAGATTTTATACTCTTAAGAAGGATATTGAGAAGCATTATTGCCTTATTTGAGGTTCTCAGTTAGAAAGAAAACTTTGCACTGTTACGGTCAACTTTAGGTTTGGTGACGGAATGTGTAGAATGATGCACAATGGAAAGCTTAGCCATAGCAGATACTTACCTAAGCATTTGACAGTTGCAGAGAAGAGTTGTCTTAGTGAAAAAGTTGAAGATGCCCACTTCAAACCTAACAAGGCTGTGCTGGGCTTTCACCCAGAACCGGAGGAAGTTGCTCCTTCTATTCACGACTCCGTAAGAAAGATTTTGATCAATAAGGGCTGTGAAAAATACGAATTGAAAAATACCAAACAGAGGATGGGCACCAGTAAAAAAACTTTGTGTATTATATTTTGCTCTTTCGAAACGAAAAAGTTTGAACTGCCGTTTAGCCCTTAATCTATCATTACTGTTGTCACTTTCAAGACTGTTAGGGGCAACTATATTGATTTAATCATATTTAGTATCTTCCATCATTAAGTCATTTATGTCTTCTTCAATCTCATTCTGGAATGAATAATTTAAACTAAATAAATATTTAAAGTCTATGCGTGTAACTATCTGCCTTTCGAGGAACAATAGGACTGTTTCAACTAAGTAACGATCTCAGATCCGGTACCCGACGTAGCAGTGCTCCTAACATCCATATCCTGGCATCCATTCTTTCAATCAGTACGTACATTTGTTCGCCTCATCAGTAGCAGTGCGAGGCTGGCCCTGTTTGCCAAAGAAACGACTGCTAAGACCATTGTTATTATTCTCTGCAGATTCTTGCTTTTGCTTTTTGTTACTGTAGCAATATTTTCCCATGTGCGTTATGTCCATATAAGTGCTTTATTGTTTGTCCCATTGACTTTTGCTTTTTAATATTTTATCTTCAACAAATATCACAACTATCTCTTCAGAAAATAAAAGTGTCTCAAAGTGCTATAGTTTAAATTATCAAAAAGACTACAATTAGAGCTCTACAGCAAAAGAAGCAGCTAACATTGCTCCAACTGAATCTGTAGCCATCGGTGTAGCGGAGACAGCTACTGAAGATTTGGAAATGGGAGAAGATGATACTTCCTACGGCCAAAGCTCAAACGTGTCTCTCAATTTGCGTCCAATGAAAGAAACAGCATTAAGCAGCCACATATCCAAAATAGTGGCTGAGCGGAAGACCAAGCTTGTAAGCCTAGTCTATCAATACAATGAGGCTGCAAGCACTAGAGGCATTTAGACTTTACAGAAGGCCGAGATGAAATAATGCAAACTCGTACGCGTGCAAATGCTTTATCAAGAAATCTGAAACCAAGCATTGTGCTAGGGAATCTACTATTTTAGTATTCACCATGAGGATGCTAGCCACAGAAAGTATTACTCAGTACTCAGCACGATTCGTCAAGGCGATTAATAATGCAAACTTGGATGTGTACAACGTTTTTTTGGCGTCGTTGTCTAGGCCTGTGCAGATGTGTGCGAAATTCGCCTTGCACAACCGTCCCTATGCAGAATTGGCCATCAAAGAGATCTCCAAAGTAGCACAAGTCGTACTAGAAGACAGCTGTATGCTGGGCTTCATCTAAACAGCAATCAAAGAAAAGAGGACTGCTCCAAAATAAATGAGGGGAAACTTCTCGCGCTTAAGTATAAAAGACCATTACACTTTCTATTTTTAAGAGAAAGTATCCATCTCTGTAAGCATTAAATAAACAAAATTCTCAACTGTATGACAACAATAGAGATGAGAGCCATCTTAAGTATCAGCTTGAAAAGATCTCACCAAGTTTATATGTCCTGTAAGATAGTCTACAACTTTGCTTATCAACGACGTCAATTTGCCCCATCGCTGTTAAGAAATTAACTAAAGTCTCTCGTCTTTAAACTATAAATAACGGTGTACTATAGTCTCCAAGCCGAAATGATATCTTTTTGTGCAAAATACAAACATTGGTTTACAAGTGGTACAATTTCTAGAAAATATATTTTTGACAAAATGAAGAAAGTCTTTGTGATTCATTTTTATATAGAAATGGCTTTTTACTTCAAAGAAAGGGTTGCTTATTCGCTAGCAGAAAGGTTGACTTTAGGGTTGAAGAAAAGAGCTTCCTTGCCCCAGAAGAAATCCTATAGAGTCAATCAGTTAATTGAACTTTATATGTATTATTTCAACTTACTCTAGCACGGAAGTTGATGTAAGGGTATTTGACCCATTCCTTAGGGTGATGCTTTTGGTGTTCATGGTGAGCGTGGTAAATGTTGTAGGCATTGGCACCAGCAGCAAAGAGGCTAGTAAATAAGGTTAGTCATTATTTCATAAAGAGTAGCTCGATAATTACGAAGGAATGGCAACGAAAAGAGTGATCTTCTTCCAGGTTTCAGCAGATTCTATGGATAAAATGAGCATTGTTTTACATTAAAGAGTATATAATTAAATTACCAGCAGCATGCTTCTTGACAGCTTCACGTTCAGCAAGGAAACTGCTGTTTTGAGCAGTGGTAGATTGGAAACGAGCACCAGCACGCTTTACAGAAGCAGCGACTTGAGAGCTAACAATACGGGCGGCCATTATAAGTAATAAAAAAGAACTGGTATCATAATTTCTCTGCCCACCAGTTTTTTTCTTTTTTTTCTTTCCTGGTACACCCTCAGCCAGGGTGTACTTAAATTTTTATGGCCCAACTCATTGGCACTCGAAGTGACGTAACTCATTTGGACACGATTTTGCCCCCTTTCTGAATTTCAAAACTTGGAGTATGGTTTAGAAAGAAATAATATTTTTATTTTATGCTTTATCTTCTTTGTGTTTGTATATTTATATTTGGTGGAAGCTGCATCTCTTCATTAGTTGACAACAACTATCTTAATTCATTATATATTTGTAACAGTCTATTGTTATTTTCAGAAGCTAAATGTATACGACTTTCTAAAGCTTTTCTGCATACACTTGTAATGCTTGTCAACAACTCATTCGTTCTACCTCCAGCTTCCTATGGTACTTTTGAAGCACATCAGAGCTTTCAGTAACTGCTTCGATATGATTATTCTCCACAGCATTCTGAATAAGTGTTGTCTTGTTCATGGTATGAACTCTCAAGCTAGAATCAATTTCTAGGTAATGTCGTAAGTACACTGTAGCATTTCTCTTATTACTATCGTGACAATCTATCTTGACTGTAAACCACACAACTTTTATCGAAGCGATAAACCAAATACATGTGCTTACAGACACTCTTATTTCGTTGAAAGTCTATACAGTTACATGCAGTCATCATTCCTTGCTCAATTGATATACCGTATACAACTTCTGTTGTGAAAGACTTGACAATATAACAAGCTTCTTCATCAATATACACTTTCTGCGCCATAGCTTCTAATGACAGCTCATTGATCCCTTCTGCTGCAATCGTTCTCTTTCTTGCCTCTCTAGTCTTTGAGCTCATACGTCCGATATTAGCAGCCATCCCTGCGGTATTGTGCATAAAATCGGCATGAACATCATCAACCAAGATAAAGATTAAGCGATCCAGTCTTATATTCCTCTTTCTTTGTATGTAGTTTGTCTTCAATTGGCTGTGCCAGTTCTCAATATAGTTGTTCGTTTCCATATTGATGAAAATTTGTGGCTGGTAGGCAGCAGACCAGTGCATGAACTTATCATCAATAAGGTACTTTTGGGTAAAGTGAGTCATGAAATACATATGCACTGAAAGCTTCTGTTGGAAATGTAGCAGCTTCTGGTTAAACATTTGGGTTGAACTTTCCCACATCAAACTCTTAAGAACTGCTATCATGCTTCTATGGACAGCATTATTGGCAGAGACGCTTCCTAACTTGACTCTCTTGCGGATTTGATCCATCCAAGATCTGCTGACATGGAAAAGACACCATTGGATACTGACAGCAGAACCAAAAACTCCTGTAATGGCTGCATGTTCAGCGGCGGAAACGTCAATTGTTATTTTCAAGAATTTAAAATTCAGAAAGGGGGGCAAAATAAGGGCATGTGCCATTTGAAGTTTTAAAATATGTACAGTCACGCATTAGAATCTGATTCAAGCTTTTATTATAAAGTTTTATAGCTTATAAGGTGGGTTAAATAGAGTGGATGGTCTACGATAGAAGTACATATTGTTGGTAAGAAGATACAAACACTAGTATTTAACTTACTTAGATTCACTGTTTCCAGAAGAAATCGACTGAAGAAGAGAGCTCATATCCATAAATGGGTCTGCAGACTTTTTTGACAGGCAATCATAGCTCATCGAATCCAATGATGTGCCTTCTGAAAGAGATTGACCTATTAAGACCTCTTTTAAGTTTTCTACCTTGATGGTTTTCCTCTTTTCTTGATCATTGGGCTTTTATACGTGTTTGTTAATCTTTTATATCTCTTTCATCTTTTAACAACTTACTGCTATTTCAGTATTGCTTGACCAAGGAGTTACCAGTTTAGCTTTCAAGTCACTCAGATTACGCGAAGTTCTAATTCTGAATGTAGAGCTGTGGTTTTCTATTTTTCATATTTTAGACCAAAATCACTGTTTTCAAAATGATTTTAAAATACCTGTCGTATTCACATCCCAATCGGCATTTAACTTGGCTTCAAGCTCAGTTCCATCCGTATCTTCCTCGTCCCTAAGAGGGCCATCCTTTGATAAGAGATCAACTACTTGCTTTCTGTCAATAAATTTATCCACGATATTCTTGTTCTCGGATTCAAGCTCATCAATGGTATCGACGCTGGTATCCTGCAAGAAAATAACAGAGTACTCGCCACTGTCGATACGCTCTGTTTTTAACGTTTGCATGTATTCGTAAAGACTATCAATACTATAAAACTCAGCAACCATCAGTAACCACTCAACGACGAGAGCAGCAACCGCTCTTTGTCGTGATGTCGTCTTGATCACCGTCTGCTTGACGAGTGACTGGATCTCGAATACAAGAGGAACTGCTCTGATGGTTGCGTCCGCACCGAAACGGCGAGTGAGTGCTGCAAGTAATTTGTTAATAGCTAGGATATCTTGTACTTCTATAGTGGGAAGCTGAACCCAGTCCAGGATAGTTTGATAAATGGTGTCAACAAGGCTAATGTCTCCCTGATGTGTTAATGTATGCTATAGTTATCAATATAAGTATATCAGAAAGACACTTTACTGTTAATTTAGCAAACCTTGGGATAAGGACTACAAAAAAGAATGGTTGTTAGCATCTGCTTGCAGTATGTGTGGTCATAATATACCTTAGACCGATATCTGTTTCTGCTGTTGCGTCAAAGTAGCTTACAAACATGTATGCGAGCTCGGTTCTTGTTTCTGATAAAGCAAAAAAACAATATAGTCAGGAAAAGGCCAGCTGTGTGAAATGCTTACCTGCAGAGTCGTCTAATAGCAAGCATACGATTGGAATGAATGTATCAAGGTTGATAGAATGCTTGTAGGAAAATGCATTTTCGCTTTCTGTGTCATCTTTTTCAGTCTTCTTTATTGAGCTAATAACAACGCACTGTAAGCATTTGATAGCTGCCTTTCTATATTCTACAATAGGTAGTTCGTCTACTGTATCTGACCCGTTGTTATTTATGCGAATTTTAGAGACAATGAAGGCTGTAATGTCGTTCAGCTGATTGACATAGTATGTCTGTGAGGCTAACCCGCCAATACTGCAAACTAGACCATGATGAATAGAGTAGTGCAGAGCATCTATTTCATTGCTAGGCTTTGATTCCAAAAATTTCTGGCCGCTGTCATTAAGCGAGAGAGTAAGTTGGGTAAAGAGGGAGCTGAGAACTTCAAGTACAGAGATCCCTACTAGAGGAACATTGGCATTGAGAATGGCATCCAAGGAGGATACAAGTGATGCTCTTTTTTTAAGGCATTCTTCATTTTCAGCCTTGGTATTACTCAACTGTTGAACAACTTCAGATACTAAAAGGTAGCTATATTGAGGCTGTATATTGAATCACTTTCAATAAACAGGAATACAATGTATACTAGTAAAAATTACCTGGAGCGAGTGCAGGACTAGTTTTATCATTGATACAATGAAATTAGACGGCCACCATGCGTGTTTCTCGTTAACATAACTTTATAATAAGGGTAAGCTATTTACTGTAAAGTATATTGCAGTATCATCTTACAGAAATATGGGTGCAAGCGATTGTTTAAGAGCTATACCATTTGCCTTGCTAAAAAGAAGGGCAAAGGTCTTCGCAGCCAGGATATCAATGCTGTGTGAATTGAGTGTTTCATGGCTAATGGCAGATTGCCGTATATCAGCATTTTCGTTGCTAAGGACATAAGGATCGGTTAGAAAGAATTGTTACGATGTGTATATACCTCTGGGCTAACGCATCTGCGGGATTGGTTGTATTGGATAAAGTCACAATGAGAGGATTTAGGATTAAATCGAGCTGTGCCTTATAATTTGAAACTTGAAGAGCACTTGATGTTACTGCCGCCTGTAACGAACGCTGACCACTGTATCTCATTCTATATACATGAGTAAATCAGCTGTACACAAGATAATAGGATGAGTATCATACTGTAATTTAAGTAATTCATTCGTTGAATCAAATGAGCAAAATTCAGCAAATTTACTCAAAAGTGCTTCATAATCATTTGTAAAATCAGAATCAACGCCCAAGGTAGATCCATCATGATATTCTGTAAACGCAACAAACTGACAACTACATAAGATATATTGATTCATAATGTCTACACAACTTACCACTTGACATGCATGATCTATCAATTCAATATCCTTTGTCTGAAGCATCATTTGAATAATCTTTACAACATATTTTGAAAACAGATTCAGGTCTCGATGACATGAATGTACCAGTGATTTAATAATGTCTAGTGTCACATGATTATTTCTAAATAAAGTAATGAATCGTCCCCCCCTTTTCTTTTTGTATTATTTAATAATTACTGCTTTCTGCCTCTTGACGCATCTTTTTCTACTTTTTTTTCAAGAAAGACTCCAACTTTAGTAAGCTTGACTGGCCTTGAGCTTGCATAGAATACTAAATAACTAAGTTCGGAAGCTCTTGGCTTGTTTTCGCCTTCTTTCTCGGGATAACAGTTATTAATGAGTGTCGCATGCTTTGCATATCTACAAATATACGTCAATAAATGAAATAATCTTGAATTGGTTATTTTATATTTTTACAGATTCATAATGTCAGCAATGAGGCAGGTATATAAAAGTTGAAGAGAGAGAGGGAGAAAAAAAAGAAAAAAGGGAGGGAAGACAATACACGAGTTGGGTTTAAATATATGAAGGGAAACACTCTCTCCTCGTTTCACAAATATACTAGTGAAAGCATCCTTTTTTCATTGAAATCATCTGTTGCCTTGGGAGCTAACTGATTAAATAAATGATGCTTATTAACTTAAGGACGTGATGTTTGATATTTATACAAATTTTTTAACTTTTGATGTTACTGAGAATTTGATTGAGTCAACCTAGGGCATGTTTAAATTATACAGAAGACAAAAGTTGATTCAAGTTTACAAGTATATATGCGTGTGTGGTTCTTTGTGTATCTGTGAGTGTGAATACAAGGCAAAAATATCTCGGTGACTATTTTTTACAATACGAAAAAATAATTGCATTCTCTTTTTACTGTCTTTAATCATGAACGTTGTCAGTGTGGCAGAAAAGAGCACAGAGCAGTTTATACAATTCTTTTACCCTAGCTACGATACACAGCGTCAAGTATGTATGGTCTAGCTTGTAAAAATAACAAAGATCTTTTCTAAACGATCTTGTCTGAGTAGAATTTAGGAAGCTTATATAGAGATGATTCAGCTATTTTATGGAATGGTATGGATATAACTATAGAATTACATGATCATGACTAACAATCAACGCATTACAGGAAATGCATTTTCAGGAGCACACCAATACTCTGAATTCTTAGGACGCTTACCAATGTCACATCATGAAGTTGATGTATACGATTGTCACCCTATCCCTGCTACAATGAACGCTCAAGGCGCATGTGGTATTCTGATCAACGTGTCTGGAACAGTCAAATATGGGGACAATCCAACAAAACGCAACTTTTCAGAATCATTTATTCTAATGCCTGATGATAAACAAGTTGGTAACTACTACGTTCAAAGCGATAACTTTAGGTAAGACAGCCAAAAAAAAAGATAGCTTGTATACGTGGGCGTAGCTAAACTGCTACTATAGATTTGTTTAAAATAAACTTTTTCATTCTTGTGTAAATATACGATACTCGTGAACAGAGAGAGAGAGAGAGAGAGCAGAAAGCCACGTTATGTAAAGTTGGTCAATTAGTAATTTTATTAAATAAACATATACAACAATGCAAAAGTAGAGACCAGATAATCATTGACTACTTTTCAACTTTAAACTAAACAGCTTTAGTTTCTGAATCGACTCTGACTTTATACTATTCTTTTTTGTAGGCACTGCTGCTTTTTGTTTACTATTGCTGTCAACAGAACAAACATCGCTGCTACTACTGAATCGTCTCAAGAACATTGTCTTTTTTACCAATGGAGTTTTTGTTGTTGGAAGGGACGAAGCTGAATTTTGCCTTGTTTTCAATCGAGGAGCTGGAGTAAGTGTTACAGAGTCTACACTTTCGGCACGTCTCTGCTTCAATGAGCTTATTTGATCCTTGAGAGTCTTGAATGATCGTTTAGCGGATAACTTTCTATCTTTTGTCTTTTTTTCTTGGTACATCACAGATGGTTCGTATGAGTCCTCCAGGGACGACGTATCTTCAGAAGGGGATTTAACCCATGGTGCTATGGGTGTATCAATGCTAGGGAACGTAATAGTCTCTGAAAATTCAAAATTAGTTTCGACTCTCTTTTGTTTGCTATCTAATTCCCATTTGATGATAATTATGGATAAGAACCAGAAAAGTGGGCTGTAGAAAATAATCCAATAGTCGTAAGTTGTCGTCTTGACTTGATCAAAGAGTTGTCCTAACTTTCTTTGTTGCACGCATATCTGTACTTGATCCATATGTAAAAATAACAGTAATGTACAACAATTAACGAAAGAAACGAGCTGTTAAGGAAGGAGGACGAATATCAAATTCTTCTTTTATACACTGCTTAATTTATTGCTGGTAAAAAGGAGAACGGATTGTTGACATTTTTTTTTAGAATCATTTAGGAGATAAATAACAAAATAAGCAAGGGAAACGCGGTTAGGATTATAATAGGAGCGTTTGATTAATTGGATTAATAAAGTAAAGAAAAGGGGTACAAGATTGCAACAGTAACCAAGCTATTGCAAATAGAAAGAGCAATTCAAAAATACAATATTTTGATAGCTAAGGCACGTCATACCATAAAATAGCATAATATCTGTCAGCACTTGTTATGTGCTTTCTTATCCTGGATTAAGTCACTCTATGTAATTTCTAATCTATTTTCAGCTCTAGGCAAAGTCAAGAAAAAAGGGGGGATGCACGAGGGAGGTAGGGGGGTACAAGTAAATCAAATTAACATAGAGCATATGGTTGCTCAGGAATCTTTACCGTACGTTGATCCAAGTATATTCCACGCTTGACCGCCCTTTTGTCATAATGCAGAGGCGTTATAAAGAAACCAGGGTGATTTAAACTTTAGTCCTCGCCATTGAGAAAAGCTTTTGATAGTTAATGACCCAAAGTGATAAACATAAAGATCTGTCCCTCTTTTGTTTGTTTAGAATGTCCAACTATATAGTTGATTCATGAATGGATCGTCAGTTTTCCTTCTTTGGTATTAATCATGGGGTGATTTTCTTTTCGGATATCTATCTTATCTCGATTGAAGTCATAGGGTAACTCTATGCGTGATATGCCACCAGAATGGAAATTGCTTGTTTAAATACTCTGTGTACTTCTGAATAAAATGCACACAAGTACTACTCTTCTATAATACAATACATTGCTTTCATATTAGGCTTTTTATTCAACAGCACTAGTCAATACACTAGTAATCTAGTTTAACGCATAATAAAGAGCATATGCTGCATAGACGCACTATAAGCTTAAGAACTGTGTATTGTACATTTTTGAAAGTGTAAAGACTGGTTCCTACATGAGTTTTCTACTTTATCAGGTTTATTATTCTCATGATTCAGTCCCAGCAGAACAAACCATATATGTTTTTATTTTGTTTTTAAATTTCAACGAACAAATGCACGGGAACGTTAAATTGCCACCACAATTAAGAAGTCACAATTCGATCTACTGAAGAATATTAGAAGCCATTTTTTTCAAATGTCTTTGACTTACCCCGATTACTGGCATCACGGCCAGTGTCCCAGCATTCTCTTGCATTTAGGAAGGATGCGGTCTTGTTTATGAAGTCAGTGTTGGATTGACTGATTTTTGCAGATAGTTCAGGAAATGTTTCCTGGAAGAGTAACGAGCAAAGGCCAGAAAGGCCAATGGCGAGGGCAGACAGGTTGTCTCTAGACTTGATGGCTTTTTTGTTTGAGACCAAAACACAGTCAGGATTGCTGCACAAGAACGATCCTTTGACCTTTGTCTTGATTTCTTTGCCATTTATAACCTTTCGATGGATGGGATGGTCCAGCTTGGAGAAGCAGTACATGCATGTTTGTGATGTTATGTTTTCATTTGTGATACACACATTGATGTTCATACCATGCATGCACTGCTTCCATTTTCCACCATATCTTCTATATCCCTTTATGGTTGAGCCTACCCCCGTGCCTCTGCCTCCGATAAACATGATAGGGCAAGGCCTGCTTCTACCTTTTGCTAAATAGTTTATATAATAGTTAGTATTCATCAGTCGTATATTACTGTGCTCTTTACCTTTCTTTTCTATCAAAAATGTTCTTTCTTTTGCGCACAATCGTCTTCGAAAGCTGTCGTTTTGCATTTCGCACGTTCGTTTCAATTTAACTCTCTTTTTGGAATTATAAAAATTTCTGAGAGCTAAACGGTTACTGATACGGTGCTGATGTATACTCATTGCTTGCTCAACGCTTGTTGCCATCTTTAAGTCTAACTTTGAAAGATTATTTTCAATGACTTGTACTGCTTTGCCTTCTGTTGACTTCTTTGCTTTTTCCAGCTTTCTTCGGACATTATAATATCCTGAGCCAATATCTATATCGCCTGTCTTCATTGCCATAGAAGATGGTAGCTGCAGAAATGATTTTGCATCAGATTCTTCACTGCTATACTTGCTCACTATTTTCTGAGCTTCTTCTTTACACTCATCGATATTTTCCAATGCTTTGTACTTATTTCGCAGCTCAAGGTGAAACTTGAATCGTTTCATCGTCAGGGGAACAGTACTTGTCATAGTCTTCAGACCATTATCTGTGCCAGAAAAAATAAATTCTTCAGAAGGATTAACCTGTGGGCTTAGTCGACAATCTTCCACTTTAGCAATCCCATGACCATATTTCTGCACAATATGCCACTGAGTATTGCTACTTTGGGAGGTAGTGGCTGTTTCGTGGGTGATTGCAGGTTTTTGCTTCATCGCTACCCTTTTAAAATGCATCAGTTGTCTTTTCAACTTCAGTTTATCTCTTGCTGCTTGCACAGACAAAAACGACTGGTCTCGTTCATCTTGGACTTGTTCGATGGCGCTGTATAAGTCAACCTTTTCTTCAAGGCTGCTATTTCTCCATTTGGCCTTCAAGTCTTTGATGTCCTTAGAGAAGTCCCTGTTATTGTTGTTCTTCAATGCATCTTTAAGTAATTTTTCTATCTGAACGACTTCAGATTGCATGCCTTGGAATTCTTGCACAAGAGTCTCTTTTGGCTTTTTAGATTCCTCTTTTACAGTCGGATGATCTGTCAATTCATATGAGGCGGGACCTTTCTTCTTGCTTGAATCACCACAGAATCCTTTGTTCCAAGCAAGCGGGCGACCTTTATTCCAGGCAACAGTGTCATGTTTCGAGCAAACTCTAGACCTTTGGACTTGCACACCGTTGCTATAGCATTCATATCAAACAATGAGCTAAAAACAGCATCCTTGTTTTGGCGAGCTTCTTCAACCGATTCTATGAGATAGTTATCATAGTTGAATATTGCCAATGCACAAGGAAGTCTGGTCAGTATTTGATACAATGATGGCCCGTCTATTCTTAAGGCATGCAGTGAAGAAGCAGATGGCTGCGGACAAAGCTTTCTGTAAAACTTCCTGTAGCCAGCATACAAAAGAGTATCATTCGCTAGGATGCAAAATGGTAATTGATGAGCTATAATGAACCGTTCTTTCTTCTTTGGAATATACGGCTTCAAAGCATTCAAAATCAGCAGGCAAGGATATGCTTCTTTTTCTTCAACGTCAGAACATTCCTTTTTCAGGTCGTCGATACTGAATTCATCTTTTCTGTCATCGAGAAGTAGGCTTTTCAGAACAGATTTTAAGCAGCGTAATCTCCTTCTTGTTAAATCTGTGGTGTTGCCTGTGATCAGCTCTTCTTCTTCCACGTCATCCTCGTCATCATTTTTACTGGCGAGTTGACTTTATCCTGCAACAGTGCTCTCAATTCTTGTTATGTTGCTCCTTTCGACTTTCCTAGCCTATGAAGCAAGAACATTACATTGTCAATATCTTGTAGCACGAAAATAAGGCATCTTACCAAAACAGCCATTTTGTATCCATCAATCCTTTTTTGGTACGTATCGACTTTAGCTTTCCATTTGTGCGCTTCTTCAGGCTTTCTTTTTATTTTTGCTTCGTACTTTTTTTTCTTGTATTCTTCGCCTCGTGCAATATTCCTTCTTGCATTCCTAGGCAGATCGGCAAAAGTAGATGTCCTGCTATTATCGTCTACTGGCTGTTGCGAGTCTTTTTTTGATCTTTCTTCTGCTTTTTTCTGGATATAGCTTCTGTATTTGGCTTCTCGGTTAGGCACCAAATGTACTCGTAACAAAACATCCAGTAAACTGTTCATCAAGCCATAGAAGATTTTTGGCGTGCTCCACATATTTTTCATGTTTGTGGTAACATCAACAAGAGCATTTCCCATTTCATAAGACTTTAATGATGTTTCTTTAAACTTGCCTCGCTCTATTCCAGATGATTCTAGGGCCTTGAAGATGGCCATCTGAACCGGATGCTTGTTTAAGTTTGTCTCTTTCGCACCAACTGAGCCAAAGTAGTAAGAATGTATCAAACTAATGTGCTGATGTTCCATAAGCATGCTAAAGTCCTTCATAAAAGAATCTGCTACGGAAAGAGGGCCAATGGTATGCTCTATAGTACAGTCTTGGCTGGGTAAAAAGCCATCTGGGAGTATATTTGCAATGGTAAAAGAGCCATGTGTAATCATATCACAATTTCGTAACTCTAACAGAACCATATTCATTATGAACGAGATATTGATAATGTAATCAGAGACTTGGGTAAGAGTGCTTTCAAGTTTTTCCAAAATAGCCTGTTTTATCTCCAGCGGTAAACCTTTTCTGATAATTCGGTTTACCGCCACGCTACAAGTTCTATACTCTATATCGGTAGAATGAACCTCTGGTCCTGTATCGTCGTGCTCCCCTTCTGTTACTTCTTCCCTTAAATTTCTTACTATAGAATGAAAGTTTCCTTGAACGTATTCTTTAAAAACTACGTCATTCTTTTTTATGGAATTTTTGTCCAAATAATATCTCAGGACAGTAGGTGTACAGCTTGCATACGTTGCAGCTTATGTCAAGACACCTCTTGGTAAGGTTTTGATATTGAGCAACTTTTGTTCCAACTTGTTCAGATCCCTTTCCACACTTTTGCTTTTTTTAGTAGTGGAGTCAACAGTGGCCTTTATATAATCATGAATAGAACGGAAGAAGCTGTTGTATAAGAGTTCAGGAGATTCTGGTATAAGCCGTGGTCTTTTTAAGGGAGGATTCTCAGAGGTTTCGCTAGCAGTACGCTTCAAGTTTTGCCATATAATTGGAACCCTTGTTATGTTAGTGCCATCAAAATGGCTTTTCTGTTCAGTATGTTTCATTCTAGGTTATAAAGTGTTTGAGCTATAAGGAACTCTCATCAGACTGTTATCCTCACTAACCTGATGATAGTTTTCAGAGATTATTGAAGGCAAGAGAAAAAAAGAAAAATAACGTTGTTGCTGATATCCTTGGCCGTGTCAAAGCTTATTTATCACAGTGATGTTGTCATCTGCGTTAGATACAGTGAAATGACTCATTAAAGTAGAACATCTCTACAATATGAAATTAGCAAAATCATCTCCATATATTCCGACTAGACGATATAAGCTTTTCTACTAAGGTGAATACTATGCTATATTTTTATTCAAATGGGTAATACTAGAGACGCTGCAATAGGATACTGCAAGATTCAAAAAAGGAAATACCACAGTTTATCTCAGGAGATCCCAGTGGTATTCAACATGGATTGTGCCGTCCGTCATGACATATTTAATGATTTTGGCAGTGCAACCCATCTTGATAGAAGACTTCATAGTAATACGGGCCTTCTTACGACGCATAGCCTCTAGTTGGCTACTGCTACTACCTTGATCATTATCTACAGAAGATACTACGTTAGTAGTATCAATAGTACCTGTGCTATTCTTAGCTTTCTTCTTATCGGCACCAACATGATCACACAAATAAAAAGTGATGTGAACTGGCAAATCTTCAATAATGGGCTTCCCAATGAATTGGAAATTGCTTGCAACGGGATACTGTCGTTTAAATACCCACTTAGCATGCAAGAACGCGTCTTTTTTGAACTATTCCTCGAACTTATCAGCCGTAGTAAAGATGATGGTCTGACTACTTTCCTCATAAACTGGAATAGTAGGGCGAACAAAATCAGCAGTAGTAGAGATGGAGATACTTTTAAAGTTGGTAGACATTTCAGTAGATGATGTATATTTAATAACTGTGTGAACTGTTATGGATAAAGTGTCATAAAATATTATTGTGACTGTTTTTCTACAGGGCGATTTAACGTTATTCACAAATGCATTGATCGGAGTTCAGATATTGTTCCCAATTTGTTCATAGTAAGCTGGAGATCAAAGACGTAGTATATCAGCCAGTCCTGCGCGTTTGTTTGTCTCTTGGCAATTCGATTGTTCCATATATAACCAGTATGTCTATTATTTCTTTCTTTTTCTCTTTTTATTAGCGAAAATATGTCACGAAATAATAATCATACCCAAAAGACACCCTTGCTGACACATCTTGTTGCTGGTGGTGCAGCTGGATTTATGGAAGCCTGTACCTGTCATCCATTAGATACAATAAAAGTTAGAATGCAGCTTGCCAAACATGCTTCAAGAGGAACAAATGTAAGCGACTGACTGTTTTATATTGTACCCACTGATCATATGGTTGAATAATAGGGGAGACCACTGGGGTTTATAGGAGTGGGTGTAAAGATTGTTCATAATGAATCATTTTGGGCCCTGTATAAAGGCTTGGGAGCCGTTGTCTCTGGTATAGTACCAAAAATGGCCATTCGATTTTCATCCTTTGAACTCTACAAGTCATGGATGACTGATAGTAATGGAAAAGTAAGCACGACCTCGGTTTTTTTTTGGCAAGTCAATTTACATTTCTTAGGAGTGTTTGGTTAACCAAGTTTATCTTTAGCTGGTCTTGCTGCTGGCACAACCGAAGCTATTCTTGTAGTTTCTCCTATGGACCTTATAAAAATTCGCTTACAGGTAACAGATAAAAAAGGAAAGCGAAGATCCACATTGACACCTGTTTAGGCTCAGCGTCACTCCATGGCAGATCCTTTGGATATTCCCAAGTATCGCAATGCACCACATGCTGCTTATACAATTATTAAAGAAGAAGGTATTCGTGCGCTTTATAAAGGTGTCACCCTGACTGCGCTAAGACAAGGTAATGATGAATGTATACAAAAGGAATTCTATGAAAGTTCATTCCCCTTGTTAGCCACCAATCAAGCTGCAAATTTTACTGCCTATCAAAAAATGAAGAAAATGGCACAAGGGCTCCAAGAATTGAGTGAATTGCCATCTTACCAACATTTGATATTAGGAGGTGTCTCTGGCGCAATGGGTAAAAACAAAATCGCACAAATATTTATATTTGTTGTTTATGCCTTATTAGGTCCACTTTCTAATGCCCCGATTGATACGATCAAGACACGTATTCAAAAGTCAAGTGCATCAGGTAGTGGCTTTGAAAGATTCAAGACAGTTACTAGTGAAATCATAAAAAAGGAAGGGTACTTTGCATTTTATAAGGGTTTAACCCCTCGTTTATTAAGAGTAGCACCAGGACAAGCAGTGACATTCATGGTATACGAAAAGGTACGAGCCTTGATTGATCAATTTTATGGAAAAACAGAGATGTCCGTTCACATCAAAATTAAATAAATAAGCTACAGCTTTCTTTTGATCCAGAAGGTGTCTAACTGGTCACGTTTAAGTGTTAAAGCATCCGAATCATCATCTTGATTGTCTTCAATCTGCCAATCAATAGAATGGTATCCTGTTGTGATCGGAAGAGTGGAAGGTGACCTTACATGTGAGTAAGAAGGTATCTGAGAGTAACTGCAGTAATTGTTGCTGTACAATAGTCCACAATTATCTTCCGAGAGGGTCGCTCCATTTTCATTCTTTATTAGAATGCTGTCAGTCGTACTACAGTTACAGCTATTTACATCATCATAATCTGAAAGTATTTCACAGCATCTACAAGAGCTATTGTCATCCTCAGCACATGGCTGTTGTTTATGACCAAAGATAGCTCTTTCGTCTCTTTCATCATCTTGTTTCTTGAAAAATCTTGACTTTTTCTCAGTGCACCTAGGATTTCTTTTGGTCAAAGAAGAAGAGCGAACACTGTTCTGATCCTCCTTTGTTTGTCTCTTTAGAAATTCTGCTTCTGAAAATACGAGATCGGGCACTATTTTTGGTAAATAAGCAAGGGAAAGAGAGAAGGGATATAGAGTACCTCCTCGATTGAGTTTTCCTTTTGCAGACGACTTTCCCTTGTTAAATAAACCCAAAGAAGGTGGCCTATTCCTCTTTCGTGACTTGATCTATTTTCATTTTATCATCCATATTATCCCTGACAGTAAAATGAGTTCGTATTTACCGTGATGCGATCAATTTCTATATTCGGTGAAGTAAACTTCTACAGAATTATGAGTAACATGAATATTTTACTATATTATAATCATAACCTCCAAGAGGTGCAATCCATTTGGTTTAGTAGAAGTCACGTAAGGCTTTTTCAATTCATGATCCACATCCTTTCTTTTCTGGTCATTCTCTCTTCCAATTGATGCTTGAATGCTTATATTTCTTCTAGTCGATGTTTGATTTACGTCTACTTGACTTACAGAAGTCATTAGTAAACTATTACAATTTATATCATCATCATCATCGTTTATAACAATAGACACTGGTATTTCATCAGGTGGTTCATAATATGGAGCGTATGTCCTTTGGTCTTCTATGTAAGATCTTATACGTGATGCTCTTTCTTCTGGAGATAGCAACATTTTTAAATAATAAATAAAAAAGAAGGAAAAGAGCAACTTGTGTGTTAAGCACCATACTTTGCTATATAACCCAATTTATTTCCAATCTCTGCAAAGAAATGCCAGGCTAAAATTTTGTTGTTGGTGCGAGTGATATCTTGACCAAAGTGTTCAATAAAGTCAATTCGCGTAGATCCAGGATGAAAATAAGAGTAAATCAATGATTGGCTTTGATCAATCTCTTCTTCCTCTAGTCGCATTCCTCCTTTCATCAGATAACTTTGTGGTATAATATTGGGTGAGCTTTTCAGTTGAATAAGAGATACAATGCAAACAAGCGTATCAGGCCTATCCAAGGCACATGCCTCATCAATGACTGTCCAAGCCTCCTTGAAATCTGTAAAGTCTATAAGCTTGATAGTTGATTTTATAGGTGACATATCACAATCCAATGTAAACTTTATTGTCTCTATTGGCATAGTACCAAACCTTTATGATGGATAAGTAAAAAAAAAAAGAGCAGTTTATAGTACTTGCCGTTTTTGCTTTACTTGTTCTGATGTCTCATTCTATAATCTATCAGTAATTCTCTTCCCTTCTTCTACATTGCGGTGTGCTTTACCGATTCGTACAAGCCTTGTAATTGTAACACATAATCTGTACTTTTCTTTTCCAACATTAGCTGTCCAGAGCAGCCCATTTTTGTTATTTTATTCACATGAGGTACAGCTCGATTAGGTAAAAAGGGACAATAATAGATGAGCACGCTCTCGGGACTTCCTTGGGCAGACATGGTAAAAATAAAAATAAGGAAGAGAGCGGAGAATGAATAAGGTGCTGCTTAGTATTTCAGGGTCTGCCTAACTCAGCATATCCAATGAAAATCAAGTATAATTTGATGTTTTAAGACATCAGTTCCAGACAAAAGGACCAAACAAGAGCCATTTATAAAGATAATAGACCACACAAAACACAGAAAGTGTCAGAGTAAGATGAGAGTAAAAGACATTGTGTGTGGGAGCTCCTTAAAATGAATTTATCGCGGAGTACCTTGCAGCCATGATCAAACATTAGAGGCGATCAAGCATTTTACCATGAAATAGCACTGGAAATAAACAACTGTCAATGGTAATATATGATACTTATGGTGAATGAGAATGAAGCAGAGGACCCCACTGAGAGTAACTTTGACAGCATTTCTGGTTAGTATCATACTGAGCTGTGCATTCCAAAAAGTGCTCTAAAAAAGATGAAGACAACACTTGCCTCAATTTTAAAATCAGTCACAGTGAAATAAAAAGTTTAAACCGCTCAAATAGTGGAGTGTCATTTTTTCTTTTTTTTTTCTTCTTCTTTATCACTTACAATAGTATCAAGATGGCACCTGATTTAAAGGAGTACGATCAGGAGCAAGTTCGCCTTATGGAAGAAATGTGTATTGTCATTGATGAAAATGACAAACGTATTGGAGCTGATTCCAAAAAGACTTGTAAGTTCCTTTTATTGATCTTATTAAAGAAGAGGTTCCTTACAAGTTTTGTATATGCCAGGCCATCTCATGACAAATATCGATCAGGGCCTTTTGCATCGTGCTTTTAGTGTCTTTTTATTTGATTCTCAAAATAGACTTTTACTTCAACAGAGAGCAAGTGAAAAGATCACTTTCCCTGATATGTGGACAAACACCTGCTGTTCTCATCCTTTGAATACTCCATCTGAGCTTATAGAAGAAGATCAATTGGGTAAATAATAAAAGCCAAAAAAAAAAAAAGGAATCAGTGTTGCTCATATATGCATATAGGAGTACGTACTGCAGCACAGCGTAAATTACAACATGAACTTGGTATTATACCAGAACAAGTACCACTCGATAAGTTCAAGTACTTGACTCGCATTCATTATGTTGCACCCAGTGATGGACAATGGGGTGAACATGAGATTGACTATATCCTCTTTATGAAGGCAGATGTGACACTTCAAGTGAATCCTAATGAAATTAGAGATGTGAAGTATGTTACTGCTGAAGAACTTGAAGCAATGTTTAAGGATCCTAGTAAGTTTAGCAAATGTGTATAAATAAAAAGATGGCTAACATCTATTAGATATTCCCATGACACCTTGGTTCAAACTTATCTGCAATACATTCTTATTTAAATGGTGGAAGCAATTGGATACAATTGAATCCATTGAACCTGATCATACAATTCACCGCTTAGGCTTTTAATCTAGTAATAATAATAAAAAAACGTTCCTTCATACTATTTTTGTGTGAATATGTCAAAATAGTAATGATCTGCCCTTGCACGTGTATTTATTATAATTATTTCTGGCTTTATTTATTCTTGCCTTCTTTTTTCTTTCTTTTCTACTAATGTCTAATGAGGAGTGGCAGCTACCCATGCCAAGTGGAATCTCACTTAATCACCACTCGTTCACTGTTGACCTATTAAAACAATTCAATTGTGAAACAAGTGATATATCTAGTGTAGAGGTATTTATAGTCAGTAGTTGTATCATAATTGACTCTTTAATTAGATAGAAAGTATTCAGTCAACTACAGACGTCAATACAAATACTACAAAACCAGATACCTCACAAAAAGACCAACGACAACAACAGCAACAACAAAGACAACAGAGACGACGATCAGCAGGTGATTTGATACGTAAATCATCTTCATATTTCAAGAAATGGAACGAACCCCTTACGTGGACCCTGAAACGAAAGAAGCATAAAGATTACCCGCCACCAGTTCAAAATATATTTACACAAAAGAAACTATCAAAAATAGCCATTAATACAACCATTTCTATAGCACCTTCCTCACAGCAACCATCAGGATCCATCAAAGATATTCAACCACCCATCATCACACAATATCCACCAACACCATTAAAGTATTCGCCTATTGAGCCCCTACCGGAGTCAATGGTTGATACACATAAGAAACGTAGAACGTTACATAGACTATCTGTGCCTATACTAAAAATAACCTCTGCATTACAACAAAAGACAGAAGACGATATACTAAGGAGAAGACGATCAGATTCAGATCTGGTTTATCATCTTGGAGATACGCGTCATAATAATTCATCATTTCTAACTAAAAAATGGAATAAATTGATTCACACATGTAAAAGAGGGTTTAAAAAGAAAAGGCATCCACCAATTCATCTTTAATAAAATCTTTTTTTTTTTTTCCAGAGAGAGAAAGAGAGAAAATCATTCTTTCCTCTAAACTGATTTTTGTTGCACCAAAACTGAGAGAATAAAAGGGGGTAAAAATAAAAGCAAAAACATTGTCAAAGAGAGTCATTTGATACACTCTTTAATTGTTCCCATTACAGGCTTTTTTAAAAAAATAAAAATTAGACATCAGAACTTAAGAGCAGCCATTAAAAAAAAGAAGCCTTCTACTATCTGGATTAAATAGTTTACAAAGCTCGTTCAAGTACGCATTTGATATTATACGTCAAACTACCTTTTTTTTATATCTCCACTTGATCTCTGATTGGTCCAAAAGTTATCTTCAACTGGTCTAGCTTTAGGTTAAAAACAGATATCACGCAAATTAAATAAACACTCAGGGGGAGCAATTTTTTATTTTTCTCTCTTTTTTTAAATTATTACCGCCATGTCAGATATACTGAATACGCTATTATCCATTGCCATGATATTTGCTCCTACTTTGGGCTATTTTGACCAAGTAAATACGCTCTTCTTTTTTTTTTTTTTTGTGTTTATAGTAATTACTAAACAAGTCTAGATTAGGATGATTGTAAAGAAAAAGACCAGCTTAGGCTTTAATTCAGTGACATGTGCCATTCTATTATTCTCAAAGTAAATAATCAAATATTGTGAAAAAAAAAAAGGGTAGATATTTATTCATTCAATAGTATTTTGCGTATCTTCTTTTGGTAAACCAGTAAAGCAGACGTACAATAACCTTTTATAACAAACCTTGTCTTAGGCTTGGCAAGAGATTTGATATGACCTTATTATTCCAATCTATTGCAATGATAACTGCAATGTTACTCTTATTGTATACAGTCATTCGATATAAGCCTATCGCATCCTTCAATCCACTGACAAGAGTTGATTCATCAAGTAGTATTTCATTTATAGAAGACGAAGACATAATTGAAGTTGACAATCAAAAATCATCTTTCTGGGCTTGGGACCACTTTTTGGATTATTTCAATTGTTTATTAGCTTATACCACCTTGATCGCCCTTCTATACCTCATCTTCCATCAATATAACACATTTATTGAAGCTCTTGGCTTTTTAAGTCTAGGCATTGAAAGCACATTACCTGTTCCTCAGATCTTGACCAATCTTAAGCATAAGAATGTAGACGGATTCAGCTGGGTTATCTTGGCTAGTTGGGTAATGACTTTTGATGATAGCAATGACATATCTAACAATAGCCTTGTAGTTCCTTGGTGATGGATTTAAAGCCTTTTATTTCTTATATACTCAATCTCCTATTCAATTCGTCGTCTGTGCTATCCTTCAGCTCTCATTTGACACAATTATCGTTGGACAATTCTTGATCTATTCTTCACCTATCTTAAAGAAATGGCTTGGTATCCAAGACAACTATGAATCTATTGCATAAAATAATAAAAATGGAAACACACGTGGTGTTACTTTAATGCGCAAATAACGAGCCAAATAATCTGCACGTGCATCGAAGGGTCTGTAACAAACAGTGGATTTCAATTGCAGAAAGAAAGAGAAAGAGAGAAATTTTTATTCTAATTTGAATATAAATTTTTGTCTTGACTGTCAACATCCAGTACACTCTTTCTCTTTCTTTCTTTTTCAACTTTAATGAAAATAAGCTATTTCCTTTGGGCTTCAGTACTTGCCAGTGGCAGTTTGAGTATGCCATCGTTGCTACAGCAACAACCCTTCGTCACGAATCAACAAGTTAATGTGACCGTACACGGACGGTATCTTCATATTACAGATATTCATGTAAGATATACGAGTAAACAAAAACGGGGGTGTTTATCTAATAATCACGCAGATGGATAAGCATTATTTGAAAGGCGCGACCATAGCCTCTGATTGTCACCGTGAGCCGAACAAACACAAAAAGAGAAAAAAGAAACAAGGTCTCTTGGCTGGATATTGGGGTGCGCCCAATACAGATTGTGATTCTCCTCCGAGACTTGTATACCATAATATAGAGTACATTGCCAGCGAATGGAAAAACAAGATAGACTTTGTGATTTGGACAGGTGACAATGCTAGGTAACCAAATGGCTACATTCTATGACGTTTTTTCTCATAATTTTGCGACAGACATGACGGAGATGCATTGATCACTAGAACTAAAAAGGAAATCATCGGTTATAATCAAAAGGTGACCCGATTGTTAAAAGAAGCATTCACGTTAGATGATAATAGAACTTTACCTATTGTACCTTGTATAGGTAAGCCAAGCCCATTCCCTTGAATTGAAGAGAACTAATAGAGGTATATAGGTAATAATGATGTGCATCCTCATAATGCACTGAGAGGTATCAAACATAATCCACAGTTGGAAGAGTTTAGCGTACTCTGGCAAGACTTTATTCCAAGCGATCAAGTGAAATCATTCAAGAAGGGAGGTTATTTCGCTATCAATGTCGTTCCTGGGTTACGTGTTCTTTCGCTAAACACTCTCTACTTTTTCTCATCAAACGATGTTGTCGGTAGTTGCCATGACCCAACCAGTCCCGGTCATCGTCATATCAAATGGATGCGATCTCAACTCAAAAAAGCTCGCAGAGATAATGTCAAAGTGATCATTATTGGACATGTACCTCCTACTGTAAAGACGTTTAAGGACAGCTGCTTAGACGACTACATTCGTCTGTCTACTAAATTCGCTGATGTTATCACTGGGCACATGTATGGCCACGCCAACATGGACCATTTTCAAATCATTGGAACCACCATGAGCAGCAATAGCATCATGTCTGGCTTAGATCAAGAAAAAGAAGGTGCAGTCGAAATATATAAAGATGCAGGTCGTTTCATTTCAACACTCAAGCGTCAGTATCGTAAGGTGAAAAAGATTCGACATACTGAAGATCTTGTTGTTGTTCACGTAGCTCCTCCTATGCTACCTCTGTTCTACCCCACTTTCCGTATCAATGAGTACGAAACAAACCATAGCTCCTCTCAATTTGGTAACTGGCTTCGATACACACAGTGGTACACAAATTTGACATACTGGAACGAAGCACGCGACCCGATCACTGGCAAACGTCTAGCACCACAATTCGAAATTGAGTATTCTACAGACAAGACGTACAATATGACAGATTTGACAGTCAAAAGCTGGCTTGACTTTGCCGAAAGGGTTTCTTCAAAGAATGAAAAGCAGCTTTGGAGAACTTATTTAAGAAACATGTTTGTTCAGACTAGCAATCAGTGGTATGAGCAAAGTATAGTAGATAATAGACCTTCTATAAGACCATGGTGGAGTTGGTTGCTAGAACTTGTTACAGGAATAAATCCATTTGCCTAGTGTCACTTCTTTTTATTACTTTATTTCATTTGCTACATAAATTATTATTATTATACAAAGTAATGCTGGGCAATGCATATGTATAACGCACAGAAAGAGACAGATATTTATAGAGAATATACATGCATACGTATGTGTATATACTAATTAAATTGCTGAAGGTGATATCTTCAGTTGTTCAAGCGGAATTGGCTCAAAGCTATGAATATCAATGCCTCTGGACAAAAGTTCTGGTTCAGCATGAGGGGGTACCAAGCGTCTGATTAAATCAGGTCGAATGGATAACTCTAACAGGTCATCAATAAACAATCCTTTTCCCTTCTATTTTTTTTTATATATATCTTACCTTCCCTTGTGAAATTCAAGACAGGTGGCAAGGGCTTTCCATCAGGAAGTCTAGTGTTTGGATCACGAATTGGATCAAAGAAGGGATGACATAATGCTTCGATCGGAGTAATTCTTTGCTGAGGATGGTACTGCAGCATTCGGGTTAATAAATCAACTGCTTCAACTGTTGCAGTAGTAAAGATCTAAAAAACACAAAACAAAAAAACACAGTCAATCATCTCAGACTATAAACTATGTTTAATGATTTACCTTTGACAGTGCTTGACGCTTGATCTGAGGGAATCGATGCTCGACATAGCTGGCATTCATTGCAGCAATTTCTTGCTTAGAAGGTGTTCCCAGAATCTTTATGATTTCTACAAGTTGATCAATTCCACTTTCTCCTGGAAAGAAAGGCTGACCCAGGATTAGCTCAGCCATAACGCAGCCTGTTGACCAAGTATCGATACTAAGTGTATAGTTTGTAGCACCAAAGATCAATTCTGGAGCACGATAATACCGTGAGCAGATATAAGAGACATTGGGTTCACCGGGAACAAGTATCTTGGCACTAGACATATGATCAGTTACCCCTTCTTTTTTTTCTCCTCTCTCTCTTTTTGCTCTGTCTGTCTATAACTCTTGTTCGTCTTACCTTCCAAAATCACACATTTTACAAATACCTGTAGCAGGATTTAATAGAATATTTTGTGGTTTGATGTCACGATGACAAATTCCAAGGGAATGAATGTATGCTAATGATCTGAGCACTTGATACATGTATACTTGAACTAGTATCATTGGCATGTGTTGTTTTGCTTTGGCGTAGTATCTTGTTGCTTTATACAAGGTATCAGGCACATACTCCATAACAAGGTTCAAATAGACCTCATCTTCTTTGTTTTCAACTTGGTTATAAAAGTATGACTTGAGCTGACAAACATTAGGATGATCAACAAGGCGCATTATTTGTAACTCACGATTCTATAAAGGAATAAATCATTTCTATTTCATTTTTTATAAGGTCTCCCTACTTTAAATCTTCTATCTTGAAGAACTTTTTTGATAGCAGCTTCCTCGTTTGTTTCGATCAGACGCGTTTGGTAAACAACTCCAAAAGAACCGTTTCCTGTTATCTTCTTGTTTGTGTATTCTAGTCTGAATTGTTTTCCAGTTCTTGCTTCTTTTGCAATCACTTTAATCGTTTTATCATGATGACCTATTGCTATATTATCTTTTTAGTTTTCCATAGGTTGATACAATGTTCATCATTACCTGTCATGCTTTGTTATTGACTATATATATATGTATACTTTCAGATTATTATAAAAGAGGAGTCTTTTTGTCAAGAAAAAGAAAAAAAGAAGAGAGCTGTTACGTATATGAACAATAAGAGTTTATGTTGGGGTGTGTGTGTGAATGTAAATCTACCTTATTAACCGTCACAAAACCGGATCTTTTTTTTGATTTTGATTAACCTCCCGATGGATTTTACTTGGCATAGGTTGTAGTAAAACGCATGACAAGGAGAGGAACAAAACTATACCCTGGATTGATATTCTAAATGCATTGTTTTTTTTTTTTTTTTAAAAAAAAAAAAAAAACACGCCCAATTTAAGGGGATTGAAAACAAGCCCTTTCTTTCCCTTTAAATGCACTGTTAAAAAATGAATATCTCCAAATGCTTTATTATCGATCAAAACGACACTCTAGAAAGAATATTTTTCCTCGTAGACTTAATTTCTTACTCGATGCCTCAAGAATTCAAGAACGGCTCGTGTCCCCTGATCGACGATGGCAGGACGAGGGACCCTGAATCTGATGTGTGTTAATACAAATTACTAGATTAGTCTAGTATGACTTACCTGTTGCCAAATACCGTGAGCTCTTTCAAGGTTGTGATTGTTGACAGCTCAGGAGGAAGATACCCAATATCATTGTTGGAAAGGTTCAAAATTTCCAGTTTCTTCCCAAACATGTCAATAGAAATATTATCCAACTTGTTGGAGCTTATAGAGAGTATCTTGAGTTCTGGTAGAATGGATGCCATATTATCTGGAAGACTGGTAAGCAAATTATTATTTAGCACCAATTCTTCAAGATGAGGAAAGCTGCTTTCACCATTAGCAGTTAATTGTTTCATACGATTCTGGGATAACTTTAAGGATTTCAGGTTAGGAAATACCATCCCTTCAATCGTCAAACTAAACTGTTCAATACAGTTATAGTCCAGATCAATCTTGACCAGGAACTCTGAAATGCAGCCCAAGCTGGAGGGAATAGTAGAAAGCAAGTTATGGTCTAGTGTGTATGTAATGAGCATGTCTCTTTTATAAAAGCACTTTATATCTTACCTAACAACACGGTGCCTGGTATTGTCTGATTTGAGAAATCAAGATCTTCTTCTGGTAGCTCCTTTAACTGCTTGTTTGACATGATTAGTTTCTTGGCTATATCCACTTTCTGTTTTCGTGATTGTGTATCATTCATATCTATATTAGCGCTTGTTATATCGGATTCTTTTCTATGAAATAAAATCTCATTTTACCTTTTTCATTCTTGTCCTTATCGAATGCTGCATCATCATCATCATCAATAGAATTATCAGCTTGTTCATTTAACTTGTTTTCTTGCTGTTGGCTCTTGAATTTACTTCTTAATGACTCGATTAAATGGGTCATGGAAGAAGTAACACGCATAGGATTTCCTTCAAGATGGATCGTTTTTAATTCCTCAAACTGTCCCAATTCACAAGGTAGCTGGTGTATATCATTTGCCCTGATATCAAGACGTTGTAAATGGGTCAAACAGACAATTGCAGCCAAAGGAATGTCTTGTAGCTTGTTGGATGATATATCTAATGTTAAGATGTTGGGGGCTCCACGAAGATGTATCATACCCTCTTCTGTCATCCTGTTGTTTCCTAAAGACACTTCAACTAGTTTTGGAAGGTCAATACTGCCTGTTGAAATTTGTGTTAGTTGGTTATCACTGGCATGCAAGCGTACGAGTGATGGCAACGTAATTTCTCCTAATTCAATCATTAGTTTTTCATTTCTTCTTGATCAATGCCAAGTATACCTTTGAATAAAACCCGTAGTCTGTTTTGGCCAACTTGTAATTCTTGAAGCTTTGTAGCATGAAGAATAGCTTCAGGAAGCTGCTCGATTTTGTTATGACTTAAATTAAGTTTGACGAGGCTTTTAACAGCTGTATCATTTGGTATATGGATATCTTTGATGGTATTATGGCTTAGATCCAGATGCTCAATACTAGACTCTGATGTATCAGGCAAGGATACCTGGTGTAAATGATTATGTGACATGTCGAGTTCTTTAAGGTTCTTCAACTTTAAAAGCACGCTGGGTACGTCTTCGAATTCATTGTATGGGAGCGATACTGACGTCAGGTTTTGTAATAGTTCAATCGTATCAGGCAAGCTTTTTAACTTGTTTACCCTAAACTAGATTTGCTCTTAGTCAAGAACTGTATTGGTTTGGGCCCATGACCTACATCAATCAGCTTTAGAGCAGCGAATTCTTTTCCAAGCCTTTCATCAATTTCTGTAATCTGATTATCTCCAGCAATGAGTTTCGTAAGTTCCTCGACATCATACCATGCATCCCCTGAAGAGCTAAAGTCTACGACAACGGAGTTGGGATCAACATGATACCTAAAGAAGTTACAGTTAGTTTATAACAATTTACTTATATTTTTCATATACTTGCATATTTATCACTTCATCTGGTATCTTGTCCAGATTTCTGCTGGATATGTTTAATTTTCCTGAACCCTTTGCCTGTTTGATGACTACATCCAGTCTTCTTGGTGCCACTGTAGACTTTTCTGTAGCACTTGAGCTTCCGTACCTCTGAGCACCTGTCATCACTTTGCTGCTCTTTGGAACAACTTGAGGCTCCTCTTCTTGGCGGCCACTAGGTTGCTTTACAACTGCCAATCGTGCACGTTGTTGTGCCATAAACGTCTTCACTCCTTCCGTTGGTCCGGCTGACTTTACAGTGCTCTTGCTTACTGGCGTAGTTTTTGGAGTCTTGGGTTCAGCAGGTGATGGCGTAGAAGGAGTTGGCTGCTTTTGAGTTCTTAGCATAGATGCCTTTGTGGGTCTAGGTTGAATGGAGGGCTTTCTTTGTCCCACTGTCATTGGAATTCAAACAAGTTTCTGAAAGTGCTGGAAGAATAAATAAAGAAGGGGGTTTTTATTTCTGTACATATTATTTTTAGGCTCAGCCTTATTTGACACACAAACAAGTTTTAAGAAGAAAAGGAGAATTTATTGTTCAACAAGGGGACACTGTCCAGCCAAAACAACTTTGGCTACATCTGACCATAACTTTTTGACATCATCAGCATTTTCATCATTAAAGTGCATACGACAGTCAGCATTGTTAACGCTGTATTCAAGCAGATCAGTTTCGTCTCCAGTAAATTCTGAGGTTGGTCTATAGACTTCTCTAAATGTCCAACCCATATCTGCGCGTTCAGGGAAAGGTGTAGGGGCGCTAGAATCTTCACTAAGGCCAAGAATTTCGAGATCCATCAAGAAACTAGACAGACGATCGCTTTCACCACCTGGGAAGGAAGCAAACTGCATACGATTACCTCGAATTCCACCCAGACCCATAGCAGGAACTTTATGGGAAAGACGAAGACGAGATGCCACAATAGCACAGGTAGAGCCGCAACGGCCATCGGAAAGGATCAAGACATCCGAGGGCTTCCATTTTGTGTTTGTGTACTTGTTGTTCAGGCTGTCGTTCCAACTTTCACAGCTCAGGGTAATCGGCTGTGAGAATTTGACTGTGTCTTTTCCTCTCTTGTACTCTTTAGTAGTTGTAAGCCATGAACTACCACTATAGCCCTTTGATCTGTAATCGATCCATTTTGTGGATTCTTGTTCGTAAGCTTTCTTGACAACTCGTTCGAGGAAAGGTGAGTACTTTACATCAGACATATAATCAGGGGTGGAGTTGAAGAGGGTACTAATAAGGAATTCTCCTGCACATGCATCGCCACCACCGTTGGACGAAAGATCTGTGTAGAAAAGAGATGTCAGTAAGAAAGTAAAAGACAAGGCAGCATACATTACCAAGAATGATCTTCTCGATCCCCTTCTTTTCAAAATCTTGTAGACCAGAAATGACATCGTTTACGAATTGTTCCTTGTCTTCAGAAGCAATAGAGAAACTTTGGATATCTACAACGCCAACTTTGTCAAGGTCACCCTCCAGCTGTATAAATTCAATATATGGGCCCTTGGAAGCGCCTACAGCGTTAAGATTGCCTTCAGAATTAAGCGCAAATACGTCTCCTTCGTGGATCATCTTTAATTCATGAATATCATAGTGGGTGTCTCTCTTTTGATGGTGAGCAGATTGACAAAACTTTGTCCAATAATTATCAGCATCGCTAAAGTTTGGAGGCACTTGAGCAACCCAAGGTACTTGAACAGTAAAAGGTTCGTCATAATCTTCTTGTATAGGTTTTGTGCCTTGTTTAGCACAACGCATGGTATAGTTATGAAACTCTTGAGCAGGTAAGAAACGGTGGTAACCAAGATCATCGGCACCATCATCCCAACCGTGAAAGTAACTCTTGGTATTCATGATGTTATTAAAACATGTGTTTACATCTTTGCTTTCTCCATTATTGTTGACAGCATAGTTAACAATCATATCCATAGCTTCCATACCATCAATCTGTGTTACTTCGCAGCCAACCCAAGTCTCTTTGGCTTCTGGCCAAACGTCATTTTTGACATAAGCAACATTAGCAATTAATCGCTTATTTCTTAAAAGTGCATTAAGTTGAATCGGCTGCCAAAAGATGAATTGTCGATAACAGAAAGGGACGTAAGACTATAAATACATAGGTTTATATTTGTATACTCATTGAGCTGACATATAAAATATCTTACTAGGTGAGCATCTTGAACTTTATCTAGTAATAAGGCAACTGCTTCTTGAAACTCTCGATCGGATTTCCAGTCTTCCTTTAATATCAAATCAAGACCGTAGGATATGTTTACTGCTGGTACGGACAATCCTTCTACATTTGGCGGAGAGGCTGCTATTTCCTATAATAAGCAAGTTCAAATTTTTAGCTTCATTTCCTTTCTATTAAACTATTCCATTACTGCTTTACATTAAACACATAAAGTTCGTTTGTCACTTTTCTGACTGTGTCCACTGTTTGTTGAGCAATATCTTTGTCAAATTTAAAGTAATCGAGACAGGCTTTGGCATCATGAAAACTGGCGGTTTTTTTCCCAGCAATGGCAGCACAGGGGTCAGTTGTGTTCGTTGTTGCTGCAGAAGCTAAAGTTGATAATAAAAGTGTTAATGAACCAAGGAGCCCATAACCACTTGTTAACATTATAAGATTAGAAAATAAAGAAGGAAAGGAAAGGGAAAAGAGAAAGTACAAAAATAACAAAAACAATAAAAGTTAGGTTCTATAAATACATTAAATTGGTGACACATTGATCCAGAACCCAATTTGCTTAATTTAGCAGCCAATTACTATTAGTTACTTGCTGGGTTCTTTGTTTTGCTTTTAGGCCCTGATAAAAAAAACACTCGTCCTATTCTTTATTTATTATGTTGTCAAGATCTAACCAATCAAATGGTACAATAAACGCTTTAAAGAGAACATTTGATTGCTTATTCTGGGGTCTATCGCAAGGTCTTCATCAGCCCGAGCTATCAGGATCAGAGACACTTCCGCCCTAAACGATCACCCAAAGACTGAATCTTCACGAGCTGTCTTCCGTTGCCATACCTACGGTAACAGCTACTGTAGCAACCATAAGTCTCATTATGCAGCCACAGACTTTCAATTCAACCTTTGGATATCTCTTCTCTGATAAATATTACGAGCTTGCACAAGGACGTGGAACTGTTCGTTTCAAAATCGAACAATTATGCGTCACAGTCATTCATTCTCAAGACTACCTAAACAACGAACGATCCACTTCAACCCAACCTACGTTCATTACGTCGTATCGCTTAAGACAAGGCCGCTGTCAGGACTAGCTATATTTACTAGGAGTATAAATTGGCCTTGTCGAATAATGATGCCTCTTTATTAAGAGTCAGCTCATAAGCCAAGGCATATATGCCACAAGACACACTGACAGCTAGAAGAACTTTAAACTAAGAACTCAAAAGATTGCTGATGGAATAGTGCTGACAATGTTCATCAAAGGTTTACGATACGATTATTATATGTGGTACAATATAACTTGGCTGCAAAGAAATTGATGCTATTAAGGACCAAAATAAAAGGGTTAAAAGACAATGGTATCAGGATGCCGCTAGTTTTGCATGATATGATCCTGGGTTACTACACAATAAAGATACTGAATTTTTATTTAATAATTGGGTTAAGCCGTGAGCTATGATGAATTAAAGACGATTTATTACTTCTCAGCAACCATGTTTTTGCAAATGGGAGAGCAAAGAAGAGCTTCCAGCAATATAAGCCTAGACTATATCATCCATCGCCGTTTGAAGGTAGCGATAGTCGTCTAGTTTTTTTATGGTTTAATAAAGCATTCGCTAATAGCTTGTAGTAGCAATAAAATTCATATTTGAGAGAGTTAATGCAATTTTATAAAGTTTCTTTCTGGTATTAGGTGTATTACTACTTGAGTAACATGTCCTACGATATAAGTCTACTACAAAGCTAACCAATAAGGAATCAGGAATGTCATTCTCCTTAAAATAATTCATGCAATCAAGAAATTCTTCAACTCAGGAACGCTTTTCAAAGTCACAATGTAAACAAACCAAAAACTATAAAAAGAGGCTCTGATTTCAACCTTCTTTTTTCTCTACACTCGAACACTATAGTTTGCCCAATTCCGAGATTGAAGGAATGTTCCTAGAACATTGCCGGATATTGAAGTGCCGGATAGCTGGTCTTTCCCGCTTCGGGGGGAGAGCAAGGGTTCTTATTTTTCTTCTCTAAGAAATATTCTTTCTTTTTATTATTAGAATTAATATAAATGAAAAAAAATAAAATAAATAAAGGCTTGGATACTCTATGTTTCTAGAAAAAATGAACAATGTTGGAATGAAATGAGTGATTCTTTTTTTATTTATTTATTTACCTTGCAACAGTTGACGCTTTATTCTTGTCTGGTTGGCTGAAGTTAACTTTTCCTTTTTCGGTCTTTACTGTGTCTGCTGTGCTCTTAGTTCTCTCCTTCTGGTAATCGTATTCTATCTTTCTTTTTTATTTTAATTACATCTCTGCTTGGGATATAGTGTGTCTATTCATTATATCATGATTTATTTTGCTATCATTCTATATCTATTTTAAACTATTAATATTATTATTGTCATATCGTTTTTGACATTTATCAGTAGTTATGAACAACTCAGTTCAATCAACAATTGTGATAAATTTGGAGAGGGTTAACAAGAGAAGGCGAATAGTCACGTTGATTGATGGATATTCTATGGCCCCCAAAGAAACGTTGGAAGCAATCGCTCAAAAGCTGAATACATGTCTCCAATATGATTCACTTTTTTAAAAGCACAGATGATTGTTTCTTTGGTAACTTTTACCATATTCTTTCTGCTGAAGTACTGTATCAGTCTTTGTTTAAAGGTAAGTGCCATTATGATGCATGACAATTTCAAAAACACTATGCCCGCATAAACTTCTACAAAGTAAATCTAGAAATTAAACACATTAATTTCATTTTAACTATCCTGCTTATATTTATATTCTGGAATACAACTGCGCCTGAACAAGCTTGATAAAGATCTGAGATATTTGGTAGGTGACATTATACCTCATAGCATAACCTTTATCTCATTACAAGTGCCATTTTTATCTTGTTATGGTGTACAACCTACTAGGCATTACCTGTGCATTGAATTAAATCACAGCTCTTTTGTTCCTTGAAGTACAACTTGTTACACAGTTAAATCGAACAAATATAAATAGTTCAAGTTGTTGATTCTAATAAAAAAAAAAAACATTTCTTTGACTGCAAGAGCTGCATCATTACAAAAACACAAGAAGAAGGCTAAAGCCCTTCTATTTCTACTCGAATAATAGATTTACATTATCAAGATCTTATACTAGTGTACGCTTAATTAATACAGTTATGAGTAGTAGTCGTGCCTTTATTATCATGCTTGTCTGCAATATATACATATTAGGTTTTGCTAATCATGTATAAATAATAATTCCAACCATAAAAATAAAATAATACTTGTGGATGCTCTTGAAGATCGCATTTTAATGCCATTCTATGCTATTTGTCGTCATTTATGGTAAGAATACTGTAAATGTTGTTATTATTTTCAATAGACTTGATTATAATTTTCTAATGGTCTGATGCTTAAACATTGTATGCCTTAACGATTACTTTTCCTAATCAAGCAAAAAGTGAAACGAAAACAAAAACAGATTAGGCCTCTTAAGGATCTTGAATGGTATGAAGGGATGTTATATTTATACTTTGCTTGTTGCAATACTACATACGTATTTTTTTTCTTTTAAGCTATGAACAAGCATTGTTTAATGAGGGCGATATGATACAAATATGACTAGTCTAGGATACAACAATTTTCTGTTTAAGTCAGGTATGGACCTCGCCAAAAGCTGACAGATGCCTCATATCAAATATATCCTTCCCATAAGCTGACATTTCTAATCGATAACCAAATTATTTAGATGTACTCTGTCTATGTTGGTATTGCTTTAAATCAATATGGATAAAAAATAGCCTATTGGAATTTTATATTACAAAAATAAAGGAGACAAAACGCGTTTGCGAGAATTCACATGACGAATTTTTTTTTTAAAAAAAAAGGCGATAACGGTGATAGACATTATTCGTGAAGGTCAGTGCTTGTAAACAAAAAAGGAGTCTTTTTAACAGTTATTTCTCTCTTTCGCCTCATAGCAAACATTTACTGGTCTGCTGAGATCTGTGCTTTTAACAGACGGCTGCCTTACAACTCAATAAATGGCATCAGCCAAAGTTATGAAACACTTTAAAAGGATACATGCTTTTTTCGGGTATGGAGTTGAGCTTGACATACGCTGAGAGTTACTCTTTATTGCAACACGCGTTAATTACTTTTTTTTTTTTAACTTTGGGGCTTTTTTGCTATCTACATTTTCTCTTTAGATAGGAATGATCCACTATATACGCTTTGATCTATTTTTAAAAGAAAGTATAGCTTGCGTCATTTTTATTTTTATTTTTGCTATTATCCTGTTAAAATTATTTATTCTGGCATTTTTGGGAAATTCAGTGTGAATGGGATTGATTTTCCATGGCTGAAGTTTTCCTAAACATACAAAAGCTGATTTTGTCTAAATTCAATATGCATACAGAGGCACATCGGAAATAAAAACAACTTATAGGAAATATCTTTTTTTCTCTTGTCAACAAGAACAAGCATAAGAGATTATTATTACATTTGACAACAATTTTAATAAAGAAGAAGGGCAGAGAATGCAAAAATTTATGACATTCGGCGTGGGCCTTGATCAAAAAATAAAGCAAATTCCTTACAGATGTCATATATTTGACCTTGATTGATTATGGCCTATTATTTCCCACATTAACCTTTTACATGTTCAAGAAAGGAATCATGCTGTTGTAGGCAGTTGAATCACTTCCAACACGGGATAAAGAAAGAGGCAACAAAAAGGTAGAGGGTAAAGTATTAAAGATGTCTTGAGCAAAAAAGAGATGCGATAACAACATCTAGAAAGGAGCAAGGTTGAATGTTTACAATCATATGCGTTAGAGGTCACACTTCCTAATAATTAATCATCATGAATGAAATAGACAGGATTAGTCCAAGAAAGGGTGTTGTTGTATCAAGATATCTACGCATCTCTGTCACAATAAACACGCAAAAGGATCCACATCAATTAAAGGTTGATAAGTATGTGGCTTGTTATGCAATAGTGCAATTCAAAATGTATAAGGCAGCTCTTTTTTCTTTCATTTTCCCTCCTTTTCTCCCATTTTTTTTTTTTGTCGAAGCACCCTACACGTGCCCTTTTTTATTTTGACTTTAAAAATGATTCCTTATAACTCTCTTCTATGTTTGTGGCATCGGAAGAAGCTCAAAGGATGATTATTAACCGTGATATAGCCTTCATTCCTGCAAGAGGTCGCGTCTATTGGAGATGAAATTCGTAGTGTTGTTGAATTTTATAACCGTTGGTACCTATGAAGCCAAATGCCCAGAATTTGATAATATGACAACATTGATCACGGCGATGTCGTCAAAGCTCAGACAAAATCAGTAGACGGAAATAATCAACCATTCCCTAGTGAAGTTGGATGCTCTGAAGCGCTAGCTGTAAGTAGCTGTGACGATATTATTGCTGACTTAATATCCATGTCTTTTATAGTCTACATTTGATTACTTGACGAAACACTATTGTTAAGGTGTATGGTTTATTAGGCATTATCTGTGCATTAAATTAAACCACAGTCCTTTTGTTACTTGAATGTACTACTGGTTACACAATTAGATAGACGTAGTTCATATATGGACTCTAATAAAAAAGACCTTTCTTTACCACAAGAGTTGTACCGTTACAAAAACACTAGAAGGTTGAACCTCTTCTATTTTCCGTTCGAGTTATAAATTAAGGTTATCACTATCAAACATTCTCTGAAAGAATGTCATGCCTTCATCTGCTACCGCACAAGATCAATTCATCAAGACTTTACTCTGTAAAACATTCGTAATGAAGTCGCTGTTGAAATCCATGAGCGCATCTCCAGATTACATATACTGTGCTTGCATGGTTGTGTGGCCTAGATGAAAGTAAGTTTAATGAACAGTAAAAAGTAAAACCACTCTGAGAAGGTAAACTGATTTGCTTAGTTCGGCTTGATCACGGATCTTCAAACCTTTTTCCTCATGACATGCTTTGAAAAATGAGTAAAAACAAGCAAGCTGACCATCAAATGTACAAGGACAAAGGTTGAGAGGGGACGGCATCTTTAAAAATGCCGCTTATAGTAAACAAAAAAAAAATGATGCTTTTATCAAAGAGCACTAGATCGGCAATGTTATGAAGCGTACGTGATAGTTGTCAAAAGAATCTCAGCATCATTCTTTTAGTATCTGCTGGTAGATGGTGCGTTTAAGAAGTAGAAAGAGAGAAAGTGGAGAGTGAAAGATGCTGTTCTATAATAGTCATATATAGATCAACATCCATTACTTAAAGAAATAAGGAGATCTCATAAAAATTGGTAAAGGATGTCATTATTATTTTTGATGGAGGACTTGTTTATCATATAATTATCTTTTTTTGGTATTTGCTAAAAAGAATTAAAGACAAATCACTCTAATCCTCATGCATCAAAATATGTTTATCAAGCATGAAACATACCATCCAAATTTGACAGATTCAATTCGAGAAATAATGCAATTATTTAGACAATGACATATATCCTCGATAATGAGAGTGGCCTCCCTTGGAGTCGCGGCTGTTTAAAAATTTGAAGGATAGATTTGATACAATCTAGACATCTCTGTTTGGTTTGCTAGTTTGATTTCATCAATAGCCTCTTCTGCTTTGCCCATGGTCACTCCTTCATCATTTAAAGTGATATGCATTCGTTGGTATGCATTCATCACTTCATTATTTACAGGCTCCAAATGCCCCTTGACTTTTAAACTTTTTCATAATAACCTTTTGGTCATTAGGAGATAATTTGATCTGTTGAGCTCCTTCCACAGACACTTGTCTAAAATGAGAAAGGGCTTTTGTCACTTTTACTTCATTTATTTTCCAGAGCGAATCTGCTTCTTTGGTGTTTTCAAAATCCGTATCGCCATAATAACTACACTTGATCTTAGCCAAAAGGCCTGAGAGGATATATCGCCATAATAACCACTCAAATAAGCGTTTATATATTACATTATATTATTTTGTTTTATAAGACTCTCTCATGCTCCATTTCCAGAGCTACTTGCATCTTCTGAATATTCTATATTACGCTTTTTTGTGGCAACAGTGATGGAGCTTGCTGAAGGGCCAATGTTGATATGAATTATAATTTTTGATTTGGTCGCGCAATTAGCACTTTGCCATAGTTATTGTTATTGAAAGTGTTTGAGCTCTTTTTATCCTTTTTGCGAGCTAATATTTCCTTTCAAAGGTTTTGTTACTGCTGTTACTGTCACTTTGTCATTAATTGCCAACGCTTCAATTAGGTTCGTTCTCAATCTTCTAATGTTTCCTCGCGTATCGTTCGAGGGATTACTCTTCCCTATTCTTCCAAAGGCAGCTTTTATTGACCATTTATCAACGAGCGTATGATACTGACGAATAAATAGTTTTAACTTGAAAACATAAGAAAATGACAAGATGGAATGAGTCTTTTATGAACAGAGAAAAAAAAGCGTTCTTAATACAAGAATAAAAGCCATCAACCAATTAAATCCATAGATTATATAAACATAGCTGCTGTGGATCAGTGCTGTGGGCTTAATATGATCCATTGTGTAGAGAAATTTAATTTATGCACGGAATATATGTTGATTTTGCTATAAAATTATTTGTTAGACACATGGACTGTACCACACCTTTCTTCTCCATTTCGACAACTGCACGATTTGTCCAAAGATCAGTTTTGAGTAGCTGTATAGACATCAAGTGTTTAACTTGAGTATGTAAAGTTGCCAAAATACACATTGGTTTTTATGTTTTTTAATGCTGTTATTATTTTTTAAAAGAAGAGAAAAACAAGCGCAAAGGTAGAAGAAAAGGAATAGGAATTTTCTAAACTTATTTACAAAAAAGAAAGAAAAAAAAAAAGCGTACAGATAGGCAACTAATGCCCTCTTGAGCCCATATGTTGACGTCCTCCTCTATAATGATTATATCCACCGCGTGATGATTGATGGTAGTTTCTACGTTGATAGTGTTGCTGCTGCTGCTGAGGCTGTTGAAGTTGCTGAAGTTGTTGAAATTGTTGAAACTGTTGGAATTGTTGGAATTGTTGTTGTTGTTGTTGTTGTTGTTGTTCAGGCTGAGATACTCTCTGTTGTTGTTGCTGACGAGTAGCCATAGCTAATTGACGATTAGGTTGCTGAACTTCGGCATTATCAAGAGCATTAGGAGCAACATACAACGTCTTGTCGATTACTGGTGGAATAGGTTGAATTTCAGTACCCAATTCACGCTCAATCTTATACAGATTGAATCGATCTTCATAAGTAATCAAGTTGATAGCTAAACCAAGGTGACCAAATCTGCCTGAACGACCAATACGATGTAAATAGGTTTCAGCATTCTTGGGGAAATCAAAGTTAATGACGACGTTGACTGCTTGAATATCGATACCACGAGTTAAGAGATCTATTATATATTAGCCATAGTGCACATATTTATGATGACACTTTTTTTTACCTGAGCACACCAAGTTACGACAAACCCCGTTTCTGAAATCATGAAATACACGGTTACGGTGACTTTGGAGCATTTTAGCATGGGAATAGAAGCAAGAATAACCTAATTCAGTGATTTTCTTGGCCAATAACTCGACTCGATTGGTAGAATTACAAAAGATGATGGATTGATTGATTTGAAGCTATGTACAAGCCTAAGCATATTACTCTTTTTTCTTTGTGCTAGTTTTACCTTTGAGAAAAGCGTATTCAAACAGTGAACCTTTTGTTTTTCTTCCACAAATGCGTAGTATTGAGTAACACCACGCAATGTCAGCTCATCCATCAGGTTAATTTCATAAGGCTTGGTAAGATGCTTATCCTTAAAGTTCTTTACAATCATTGGGAAAGTGGCACTGAAGAGCATAATCTGTCGATTACTTGGGAAAAAGGCAATTAGCTGATCAATAATAGGGGAGAATTCTGGTGATAACAGTTTATCGGCTTCATCCATGACAAATGTTGTAGCTTCACTGAAATCAGCCACGCCTTTTGAAGCAAGATCGAGAATACGACCTGGTGTACCAACGACGATGTGCACAGTTTCACCCAGACGCAAAATATCATCCTTTAAAGTGGTACCTCCTGTAGTCACCATCACTTGAATATTCAAGTGCTTACCCAACGTTTTGCATACTTGTGCTGTTTGTAATGCTAATTCACGTGTAGGGACAAGCAATAGAGCTTGAATCTTGGATATTTTGTTGTTTATCTTTTCTAAGGTTGGAATGACAAATGCAGCAGTTTTTCCTGTACCGTTTTTGGCTCTTGCAAGTACATCACGGCCTGCTAAAGCAATAGGGATAGCCTCTTCTTGGATGGGTGAGGGTCGTTCAAAGCCAGCTTCAAAAATACCCATCAATAGTTCTCTTTTCAAAAAATAATCTTCGAATTCATTTCCTTTTGTAGCTGTTACATCCTAACATAGCTCGTCAATCACTCCTCTCATAAAGTCAACCTTAATCTTTCTTACCTCTGTTTGTGGTCGTGTATCTTTTTTTGGAAGCATCAAATTTTGTTTCCATTCATTATTATCGTGATTACTATATGAAATGTGGTTATTTAATGTTATGCCTAATAATGATGTATAAATATATACCTTAATTGTTGAGGAGTTGTCATAGAGTTGTTCATCATTTTTTTTGATATAAAAAAGAAAAAAAAAGGGAGACTTACGCAAACAGTAAGGCAGTGTTAAAAAAAAAAAATACAATTTTTAAAGCCAACACACCGTGATGTCACCCCAAAGATTTGGAATTTCTGTTTGCACTCATATACAGAGTAAGCACATTCAGAATCCTTTTGATTATGATTTAGCTTTCTGGGGCTTTCTTAAAAAAAGGTTTCTTAAGGGGGATAGGGAGCATCACTGCCTAAAATAGTAATAACACTTACAATTCAAGATGTAGAAGCATGAAGCTTGGCTTAAGGCTTAAGTATTTTATATCTTTTTTCCTCTGTTCAAACGATATTTACAATACATTTTATAAATATTCCTGGATGGAAACTATATGCATGGACGATCTTTTTGATAAAAGGGAGGCTGTTGCTGCATTTATTCTACACAAAACTAGATAAAGTGTAATCATTTTGTATTTTACATCAAAGGATATTTCACTGGACAACATTATATGCAGTGTATATAAGTAGCGCCTGTAGCATTGGCCTATTTCTGGTGCATGTAGCGTTGTTCATATTTTTCCATGTTTTGTCATCAGCGAAAAAAGGCTTAATAAGCATTGATCTCTTTTTTTTGTAATGCGGAGACTGAAGATTATTCAGCAAACCTTAATTGGAACCCTTTTTATTTATATTTCTTTTCTTTCTTTTTTTTTTTTTTTTCTCTCTTTTATAATTTTCAAGCTAATATGGTATCTAAAGTCTTTACATTATTTGGAATGAATGTGGTCAGCAATGATCCTTCGATAGAAGAAAAAGACAAGGAAAAGAGCCGTCCGACGACAGTAAAAGAATACGTTGAATTCTTAAAGAATCAGGTTCATGCACCTAGTGCCGTAACGCCAATGCTTGTCCCTGATGAGCATATCAAAATACAGTGTCAAGTGCGTGCACGCATCCCAACAACACAAGGGGGAGAAATGTATCTGTATCTTTACAAGAACAATCAAGATACTAAAGAACATTTGGCTATTGTTTATGGAGATGACATAAGATCAAAGTCCTTGGATAAGACTTGGGAAAATGAAACTATCATGAATCGAATTGTCAGAGGAGCTTATTATGGAAGACTAGAAGAAGTTGTAACAGATGAATGTCGATCTTTAGCATTGACAAAAGATCAAGAATCTTATTTAGAAGCACAGCAAGCAAAAGCCAAATCAGAGTGGAGAATGTTATCAGAACCACCCCTTGTCCGTATCCATTCAGAATGTTTTACAGGTGAAACAGTACACTCGGCCCGTTGTGATTGTGGTGAACAATTGGATAGTGCAATGGCTCAAATGCAAGCAGCAGGAAGAGGTGTTATTGTTTATTTGAGACAAGAGGGAAGAGGCATTGGATTGCTGGAGAAATTAAAGTAAGGGAGAAGTTTGATTTACTGAAAAGTTATTAACAATCTACGTAGAGCATATAATTTACAAGATTTAGGACATGACACCGTAGCTGCTAACGTCTTGTTACAACACCCAGCGGATGGAAGAACATACGGTATAGCAAATGCCATCTTGAAAGATCTTCAGCTCAAAGAAGTAGATTTACTCACAAATAACCCTGATAAAATTAAGCAATTGGAATCTTATGGTTCAATCAAGGTAGTTAAACGTCGGCCCATGGTTCCACGATCATGGTCTTCTCCTGCCTTGAATGATGGAACCAACAGTGCTATGCCATCTCCCTTACTTTCTCATAGCCGTAATGAAGTCAGCCATTTAGAAACATCATCACCCGTACCTTCTTCAGGCTCATCTACACCAAGAAATGAATTAGACAAATATTTGGCTGTCAAAGTGAAGAAAATGGGCCACATCTTAGATTTACCAGAGGATCTGAAGTTACAATAGATTCAACCCTTCGTGGCTTGAAAGTGACTTCTTTTTCGGACATATACTCCAAATGCTTTCTGAGCATTATTTTTTCTTTCTTTCTTTTTCTATATACATATAAAATGGTACCTAAAAGTAGGGTTTTATAATAAATAAACATAATATGTGTGTGTATACAGTTTTATCTAATTAATATCTGCTTGTGTAATCTATAGAAAGATTAAGTAAACGAGTCCGTTTATCAAAAAAATACAGTATCAAAGATAAAATTAAGGAGCATCAACGTAAAGAAAAGAGACAAGGCAGAAAGAATCCACAGCCTCAGCGTAGTAAGTTGCTTCAAATACAAAGATTATCTTTTTTTTTTCTAAATTTAAATAGAATCCAAAAAGGATCCTGGAATTCCCAACAATTGGCCATTTAAAGAAGAGCTTTTGAATGAAGTTGAAAAGCAAAGATTAGAAGCTGAGGAAGAGAAGAAGAGAAAGAGGGCGGCATCAAGAAAGAAGAAGGCAGCAAAGAAGGCTACTAATGAAAATACTAAAGAACAAATTGAAGAAGAAAAAGAAGACGAAGAAGAACATTCTGAAGAAGAGTAATTCGATTGTATATAAAGCACTTTTTTTATTTCTATTAGATTAAAGGATGTATTTTAAGTTACATATGTTCAATGATGGTTATTTACACACAGCGACCCTTTTGATCGTCTTCTGCGGACCAGCCAGGACCGCAAGTACAGAATGTAGTTGTAAGTTCAGTGACCTCTTCCGAAATACGCTGAATTTCTTGTTTCATGATGGGTGTCATATCTTGGCTCTTTCTATATCCATCCAGTCGATCCTGTAGTTCTTTGGGTAGAGATGTATATAGCATACGGGGTGAACCAAGGACAAAAAGGGTAGCGAATGCAGCTTTATAATCAACTGTGGTATATGTATCCATGTTTCGGTTTGCATAGAGTGCATTCATCACGACTGGATAAAGAGGAGATTTGGTAGTGTCATAGAGAAGTTGATTGATGTATTCTTCTGCTTTTTCTGAGGCGGTTGCGTTAAAGGATGCAAGTGATTTGTTTGCCAAGATGGATGTATATTCTTGAGGAACGTTGCGAAGGACAAGTTTGACGACGTGCTCCATTGTATGAGGCTTTTCTAACCACATATCCTCTGGTATACGCTTACAAAATGACTTAGCAAGCGTAGACCAATTTAACTTAGCGCTTTCTTTTGTTGGTCTTTCGTCCCCTGATCGCTTGCTGGTTCTATCATTCGGTTTAACTTTGCATAGACTAATTGGCGGGTATTCGGCGTTGTAACTTAGAATAAAATAACCGCGCGGACGACCGGTTTCTTTGTCAATTGGCTTCATTGATTCAAACAAGGTCTCAATAGAGCACCAATAACTTGGGTACTTGTAGCGAGCTGTGTCCAACACAAGTACCATATTATTCCTCGGGTTATAAGCACCAATAGGTGAAAAGTGTCCATCCCCCGTTTGTCCGAGCGTCTTTCTAGAAAATGATATGATCATAAACTTGTCTGATGTTGAAGTGACGGATTCCAAGTCCTTTTTGAATTCATCAAAGCTAAAATCAAAGGCACGTTTGACTTGAACATCAGAATGGCACTTGGCTAAGCATGCAAAATTATCAAATGTGATGCCTTTTGTTTTCATATCTTCTTTTGATGAGCAACAATGTAAGAATTCATCTATAAAAAATTAATCAGTCATAAAATTAGTTTACCTAAGCTTGTGCCTTACCTGAAAACCATCGCCAATTGCCTTTCCATCTTCGTTTTGGATCTACTTCTAGGGCATTTAAGACCATAGCAACTATAACATTCATAAGCACCCCGCTTAACTTTTTATTGTAATCACTTACGTGAACTTGGGCCACAATAGGATGGCTCAGATTGTGTTGTAAAGTTACCGGTCAATGGGAAAAACCCTTCTGCATAACCATCATCCATTGCTTCCCTGAATAGCTTTTTACCTTCAGGAGAAGCAAAACGTACTAAGGTTTTCGGTAATTCTCTTTGATAAAAAGTATTCTTTAGATCTTCCTCAGATTGCCTTTGAACACCAAGCAAGTCTCGAAATGCAGCTGTTGCAGAAGGAGCTGTACCTTGTTCGTCCGTTGTTGCTTGTTCATTTGTTTGAATGTTCATACTGCGAAATTGCGAGTTCAATATGGAAATAGTAGGAAATGCATTGTTTTGTAATCTTTCTAAATGTTTAAATAAATAAGGATTGCAGTTTCTATTTCTGCAAGTGAACCGTAATGGTAACCTTGCTCTCAACATGTTTAAACAAGAAAGAAAGAAAAACATGTCTATCTTTGTGAAAAGTTTTAACAGTCGCTGTTAGGCTGAAATATTAGCCGAAGCGGACAATTGTTATTGTTCCTTTTTCTAAATTTTCAGTGATTTGCAGTATTTTTATATTTGACACATTGCCGTATCCGAACATAATTCACGCTTATTGAAACCAAGAAATTCACCCTTACAATAATACTTACTAGTACATAACATCATTTCTTGATTCAGATGTCACAGTAGTAAAACTAGGAAACCCTTAATTAAGCTACTTTACCCCAGAACAACTGCTAGACCCACGCCAAATATAATCCCACAGTAAACTTGAATAGTATAAATAAGAGCCACTCTTTATCAATAAAAAGAATTAATTCAGTCTTACTGTATCTTATTGCTTCTCATTACTTTTATATTATTACATACATCTTCTTACGAAGTTGAAGGATAATCTTGGAACCAGTCCACATGATGCAGACCGATTGATCACAGGATAAGGGAATAATAGTGCTGGACTTGTTGGATACGGGCTGTTATTGGCTGTTATAGTTGTAGTGCAATATTTGTTGGAATTTAGTAATGAGCTTGTCTCTTGCTGCGACGTTAAAATTCAATTCTCCATAAGTAATTGAAAAGAAAAACGAAGGTTGAGCATTATTAGGCCAGTGGTTATAGTAAGGGCCTGAATTATATGAATCTTTGTCAAGACGAAAACCAGAGGATGAAAGGGCTCTTGATCAATGTCTTAAAGAAGTGGCTGGATGTGTAGCGTGCGGTTAGGGTATTCAAGGCCCTATAATGACTATCCACCATTGCTTTATCTGACAGCCATCGCTGATAGCTTTGGTAAGGACTTATGTGGGAGCTTGTTCAGGTAAAATGAAGCCGTATCATCAATAGAAAAGGAGAAGACCCAAGCGGCCGTGTGTGTGAGATGATGACCGCCCATATGTGGATAGCTGAGTTTACCACTGTGGTGCCAGCCAAGGCATCAGCTCTTAGTACGGTTAAACATAGGTATCCATAAGATTGTCCAACTAAATTGAAAAAGATAGCTCTGACCCAAGGCGGTAACTGAGTCCGAACTTATTTCGTCGACCAAATCAGAAAAAGGTTTTCAACTAAAAAATATAAAAATAAAAAAACAAAGCAAGTGAGATCGAGCTTTTGATTAAAGCACCTTTTCCCTTTAATGAAATGAACCAGCATTAAACTTGACCATGAATAAAGCGAATACTAAATGCATGCACTGTTGTGTTTATAAGTAAAAGTATTCTTGGCAATATTAACCATAGGGGTCGACAAAGTAGAGGTTACACTTGATCAACAAAATGACAACATTCGTTACTACAGTAATAAATTGCACTGCCATCACATTGTTCCTCTCTAAGGTTTATTGAGTTATTCTTCTACTATTTTATCTCCATATTAGGCTTATTTTTATCCATTTCATGCATTTATGTATTCATATTCTTTTTCATGGTTATAAAATCTCCTTTTCTCATCGCCAATAAATCACATATTTGATAGTGCCTCTCATTCATGATACGCTAGTATCCACGCCAATAAATTCATTAAGTGAAGTATGTCGCGTACCTTAGCAACCTACTCTGTTTCGAGCGCCATTTGAAATAGTTTATGCAGACTTAGAAGATCCGTTGCTTTACTATAAAAATGAACGTATAGTCATTAAACCTATCACAAGCATAATCATCGCTAACTTTAGCTTACATTTCACAAGCAGAAGGGAAAAGTGCAAGGATATAACAACAGGGATTAGAGGATAAACACCTTACCTTTTACTTTTTTTTTCATGTGCACGAAAAATATGTCGTATTTACCCTATAAATACTTAATCTTTTCGTGTGAGATTACTATAAATCTATACTCTAAGAATGAATAATGCAAAGATACTGACAACAACACATGTTATTAATATATAACGCGACATGCCCAACTATTATTGGACATAATTAAATCGGTTCCTTAATAATTCTATCTTCATATAAAATGACGCTGTTTGTAATAATGAGCTCTCTCTCATCTTAATATACAATAACGAGGTATATAGAGACTCATCGATATACATTTCCCTTATCACTTCTTCATATATTTAAGATATATCACAAAATAAAAACAAAAACATTATACACTCTTATGTTTTCCTAAGCCAGCAATTTAATCACCTATGTTTCATACTTGATAAGCAGGCTTTGATACATGATGATTAGGATGATTTGATTTTGGTTCTTGTTTGCGAAAAATAGTAATCCATTATTACTTTTATGAGACAAGCTAGAGTGACTAACTAATAGATCAATCATGATTGATTTCTTTTGATTGATAAATAACAACAGTAATGAAATCAATTACATGTGTTCCACAGAATCGGCAGTCTAGTGCTCTTTGGGAAGAGCCTTATTTTTTGATTACTATCAGCTGTATTTTTAAAGGATACCATCCCGTTTCAACTTTTTCCCTTGGACATTTAATTCTCACCTTACTTTTTTTATTCATTCTTAAAGAAAACGACCAGGAAAATAGAAAATAAAAAAAAGACGTATTGGAAATAAAAAAAGTGAAGCAATCATAATAAAAAAAGAAATTATGTGTGTATAAGTGCGTGAAGTCAACTTTATGTAAACAAGCGGCCGCACTAAAGGAAAGGGCCCGTGAAAAAATTATGCAAAAAAAAAAGGAGGAGACGTTCGGATGCTTGGATGTGTTCTAATATGGATAAGATAGAGGATGAGTAATTTATTTATTCATGCATTATTGGAGAAAGAAGGAGCGAGTCTTTTATTTTCAGCTTAAATAACATGATCCACGTAAACAAAAAACTATAAAAGAGACCATCATTATTTTCCTTTTTCTTCATTCTTTATCTCTTTTAAAAATTCTTCTATGCTTTTACCATTCCCTATGCTGAAAAGGTATAACGGCGTTTAGGTGATCTCAAAGGACATATAACTAATGCCATTATTTAGAAAATTCACTTTTGCTGGCTCTATTTCATGGTTCCTGATGAATCTTGCTCTATCATAATGATCTCTCACGGGATAAAGCCTTAAAGTAATCTCTGCTACTCGCTAATACTCAAAAAATACTTGCTACTGCTTATCAATACACTTAAACAATTAAACAATCAAATACTCAAACAAGTACTCAAATGCCTACTCATGCTTATTAAATCTTTGAAAAGGGCCTGTGAACGCCTGCTCGTGTTTACCAATACCTAGTCATCTTGGATTTGAAAGCTAGCGATAATGTGGTCTTCTGGACTTATGGAAGAAAAAAAGAAATCTCTACTTGCTCTCTAAACTTGGCTATCAAAAGAAAAATCTCTACTTATTCAAAGCTCTCTCTTTGGAAATCAAACTACTGCTTACTTAAATAAAAACTTCATTTTGTTACTCCCACACTTTGACTTTTTGTTCTTTAATCGTAATAAAATATATTCATTTGAGGCGCTTTTCTTTTTCTCTGATAATCTACTTGTTATCTGTTCTATAGCCTGAAAACACATGAATGATGTAGTCCTTAATGAAAAAAAAAAAAAGATTAATCAGCAATCGCTTGAAGGCAATCAGGGCATTTCTTGATCAATGCATTTTTTTTTTTCACAAAATTTTACAATAAGCTTTGGCTGTGTCGCAGATTTAAGACTAAACAAGACGACATTGCCTGTAACTAAATAGGACGAGGTTACCAGTAGCCTAGAAAATGGTTCCTTTAATGGTCCAGTTTTACGCCAAAAATAAAGAAAAAGAAAATAAACGTTTGTTCAACCTGCTTACAACAAAAGTGGCAATGCTCAATATTTCGAGATATCCATTTGGGACATTGGCTGTCTTGACCAATCCTGAGGATATCATACAGCCTTTGTTATCTTTTCTGGTGTTTGTTCAGATATAAAACCTTGGTTAACGGTAGCTGCTCAAGCATCACACATGATGTACATTGAGAAATATAGTTATTCATCACTTCCCTTAGTCTTTCGAAACAGTGGCAGTAAGTAATAGCCGTTCGAAACTCATCAGCTGGTATCACAGCAGCTTTAGCCAAAATAGTACACTGTATTGCATATGATGAGATTAATAAACAAACATTCTTCTATCATAAAATAGCATAAAAGCAAACGTTACCTTTACAGATATAGGCGTATTGCCTCTATATATTACTCTGATGTTAGCATCTCCTTAAGGGTTCAGCATGCCAGAATTGCTACGTCATCATTTCTGCGGTTAGTCTAATCGGGTCGCTTGAAAACAGTGGGCGGTCTTTGAATAAATTTTTGCCCTGGCTTGAAATTTATCTATGACCAAAAAAAAGACAAGAAAGACTGTGCAGCTTTTTCACGAAAAGGGTAATTAGTGTTTTTAATAGATAAACATCAAGACAAAAGAAACTAATTGTAGCTTTTTCTCTTTATTTAATTCATCTCATTACACAATTATATCAACACTACAATAACCAGTCATCAACTCCCCCCACTCTTGTGTTAATATATAAACATGTCATTTGCTACTAGATTGTGGGCACGCAAATTCGCTAATGCAGCCCCCAGTGCAGCCCGTGCTTCTTTCCTTAGACCTACAGCATTAAGAAACTATAAGCCTTTACGTACAATGGCAACCGCAACTACTCATTTCACTCAAGAAGACACTCATGATGATTATGCACGCACTACAATCACTGAAGATAAATCATTTGGTGGTAAGTTTCTTTCTGACTTTTCCAATTTTCTATTGTATACAGCAGTTCAGGATTCAAGATTTGCATAACACATTTATATAGATATTCGCGATGAGGAAGAGAGTAGAATGCGTAACTTCACAGTCAACTTTGGTCCTCAGCATCCAGCCGCACACGGTGTGCTTCGTCTCATTCTCGAATTAAACGGTGAAGAAATTGTTCGTGCTGACCCTCACATCGGTTTATTGCACCGTGGTACTGAAAAGTTGATTGAATACAAGACGTACATTCAAGCATTACCTTATTTCGATCGTCTTGACTACGTTTCGATGATGACAAATGAACAAGCTTATTCCTTAGCTGTCGAAAAACTTTTAAACATTGAAGTACCCGAACGTGCCAAGTACATCCGTACAATGTTTGGCGAAATCACCCGTATCTTGAATCACATCATGGCTGTCATGTCACACGCTATGGATGTAGGTGCTTTGACTCCCTTATTGTGGATGTTTGAAGAACGTGAAAAGTTGATGGAATTCTATGAACGTGTCTCTGGTGCTCGTTTGCACGCTGCCTATGTTCGTCCAGGTGGTGTCGCTTTTGATCTTCCTCACGGACTTTTGCAAGATATTCATGACTGGTCTGAACAATTTGCTGATCGTGTTGATGAAATCGAAGAACTCTTGTCCGGTAACCGTATCTGGCAGATCCGTACTCGCAACGTTGGTGTCGTCACTGCAAAGGAAGCCCAAGATTGGAACTTTTCTGGTGTTCTCGTCCGTGGCTCAGGTATCAAGTGGGATATCCGTAAGGTAGCTCCCTATGATGCTTATGACCAAGTCGAATTTGATGTTCCCATTGGTCAAAACGGTGACTGTTATGATCGTTATCTCTGTCGTATGGAAGAAATGCGCCAATCTCTCCGTATCATTCACCAATGTGTTAATAAGATGCCTGAAGGCGCCTTCAAGACTGATGACTGGAAGATCACTCCTCCCCCTCGTGCTGCTATGAAGGAAAATATGGAAGCTTTGATTCATCACTTTAAATTGTTCTCTGAAGGTTTCTCTGTTCCTCCCGGTGAGACCTATACTGTCATCGAAGCTCCCAAGGGTGAATTTGGTGTCTATTTAGTTTCTGATGGTACCAACAAGCCTTACAGATGTAAGATTAGAGCTCCTGGTTTCTCTCACCTCCAAGGCTCTGACTTCATGTCTCGTGGCCACTTGCTTCCAGATATGGTCACAATCATTGGTACAATGGATATTGTGTTTGGTGAAGTTGATCGATAAGCATATTCTTTTTCCCCCTTTGTTCAATTTTTTTGGGGATATTATACACAGAGAAATAAAAAAATAAAAAAAAATTGTATTTGAATTATTATTATTATGAAGATAGAAGATGATAAATGAAACTAAATACATGATGCTTTTATTATTTTCTTTTTAAAAAAAAAAAAACTTAGAGAATGTAATCCAATTCGTTTCGTTGATAGGTGTTGCGTTCATCATTTTCTAAACGTGGATAAAATGGTATTAAAGCATCTTGGCTGCCAATATACAATGTATTATAAATCTTCCAGTAGACTTCACGCACTTTTCTCGCAGGATGGAACAAGCCTTGGAGAGTGTATTGTAAAATAGTAGCTGGGCCTAATGCCACACGAAGACCTTCTATTGACTCCATAACAGCATTGATAACGTGTGGACTATTTACAAAGTTAATAAACTATACAATATATAAAACTATAAAGCATACCTTGTCTCAAAGATATTTGGCCATATATAATTGAGTAAATGTCGAAGAGCATCTTCACATCCAAGACCAACTACGCCTAATGCCATATGCTTAATGGTTGTACATGCAGTTTGTCTATGCACAAGATCACGATCCATCAAGGCATCTTCTAATAGAGGAGCCACTGCGTTGATATAGTCTTTACCCATTTCTCCAACATATTCAAAGATAAATGATAAAGACTTCAAAACACCATTTTGAACATTCAATTCAGGTACACGGTATTCGTTCATCAATGCTGGTAAAACTGTGAAAGGAGCACAGGTTTCGGCCACAATGGCAATCGCAACTGTTGTACATACACGGTTCTGACGCTCCTGAACCTTGAGATTGTTTAATAATGTAGCCAAGACATCTTGAGGACCAATAGCCTTTGCAATATAACCAAAGGTATTTACGGATGCGCGACGAATACCCTTCTTATGTGCCTTCAAAAGATCAAGAAGCTCGAAACAGACACGCATCCATTCACGAGCAGAAACATATTCTGCACCACGATCAGCAATACGACCGACAAGATCAATACAGTTTTCTTGAACCTTTTCATGACGATTACGCAAGATGGGTGTAAGACGAGGAAGGAGATCCTTAATGGGAGGTGTCATGCTTGCCATACCAATGACATTCACGATACTCTTTAGTGCACCAAGAATAGAGCCCAAAACCTCAGGATATTCTTCACCAAGATATTCATATAGAATTTGTCCAAGCTGGCTCATCAATTTCTCTTCACCACAGCTCTTCATGACGACAGCAATACGTGAGATCAAATCTGCTGCTTGTTGACGTACTTTAGCTGATTTGTTATTCAAACGCCATAAAATGGTGTAACAGATCTGCTGAAGATAAGGCTTGATACGCATACCAAGTGCGTTGACAACAGTGCCAAAACCGTTCAACATGATAACATCTTCCACAGTTTGCTCTTGGAAGGCATAAAGAATACCGTCAATAAGCAGTTCTTCCAGACGAGGATCAATATCAGCAGCACCTAAATTAGCAACCACTTTTTCAATGGTTTCCATTACCATCTTGCGATAAGGTTCACTTTCGTCCTTCAAATCATTGACAATACGACCAGCAATTTCAGAAACACCCACTTTGTTAGCCAATTCAACAGTAGTTTCAACAACTTGTTTGTAGTTACGACGGTCAAGTGCCATACGACGAACCCAAAAGTGCTTGAAAAATTCAGGTAAAATTTCTTCCTTGATATAACTTGGCATGACACCGTCAGTAGCTGCACATTGCTTCACGACCTTCAAAACGATCTTTTTCATTTCTTCATCAGGTGATTGGAATTCACGAATCAAGATGACCATGACTTCTTTTGTGTAGTAGTTGGCATATTCATCATCCATTAATGGAATAATGTAGCCAATAGCCTTTAAGAAGGCAGCTAAACCTTTGCCTCTATGCTTACGAATACCTGTCCAAAGTGGCTTAAGGACTGAGTCAAAAGATTCAATACCATAAGGAGCAGCTGCTTCTGCTAAAGCAGCAATAGCCAAAGCGGTAATCGTGCGAACTTTTTGCTGTTCATCTTCAAGACCATGACCAATACATTCAACCAAGTTTTTCAGGTGAGGCAAGACAGCACAACCCATCAAGATGGCTGTTTGTTGAACAATCTTGATACCAGTGTGGCGAGCCTGCCATGATTTTTTGGATCTACAGACAGCTTTTAGGAAAGGCAATAAGGCAGGAATACCAAGTGCAGAGGCAACGACAGAAAATGCACGAGCAGTTGTGTTACGGACGTATTCGTCGGCATGATCAATATCTGGACGCATGGTAGTAATCATAGTAGGAAGACCAGCAGCCTTTGACAGGTTCGAAATGATTTCACGACCTTCTACACGAGCATAATAATCTTCGTCAATCAAAAGAGGTTCAATGACGACCAAAATCTTGTGAACAAATGGTCGAACCAAGTCATCCAATTTGTACAGGATACGATCGATGACTTTAACTAGCAAGTGACGCTCTTGATCTTCTAATGTTGGAGACATCAACAATGGCAGAATCTGATTGAAGAGAGGACCAGGTCCAAAGTCTCGAGCTTTATCTGTAATATGACGAAGAGCACCCTTACGCATAGGAGGAGTACCATTCTTGATCTTTAGTAACAGACGCATAATCTTTCTCTCTTTCAATTCTTCAACAGACATGGCGCTTTCATCTTTGTTGTCAAGCAATTTACCAAAGTGCTGCATATCTTCTTCCTTGAAGAAAGGAAGAGTACCCACACCAGGAATTTCTTGAGGGAGTTCCATGGCTACTGGAGCTCTTACTTCATCTTGCATAACAAATCCAGTTTCACCCATGGGTGTAGGTGTAGCTGTCAATTTACGTGCAGGTGTTCGAATAGGCTCATATCCTGGAGGAGGTTCTAATATTTTGTAACCTGTAGTAGGGAACATGGCATCCAATTCTTCGTCAGACAAAGGACGGTTACGAGCATCTAATTCACGCTCCCATCGAAGTGCATTAGAAGCTTCGGGTGTCAGATACATTTGACTTGGGGTTGGTGTCATCATGCCCATACCACCAACAGGAGTGGCTGCTACATTCACATTGTTGGCTACAGGTGTTGCATCCCACCTTGAACGCTTCGTCGTTGCCTTGGGTGTAGCTTCAACATCGTCCCATTCCGATTTACGAACTGGGGTAGCATCAAGGTCGTTAGGTCGAGCAGGTGTTGCATCCCAGCGAGATCTCTTTACGCTTGCTACCGGTGTTGCATCTGGTTGTTGAACAGGTGTAGCAACATCCCATCTTCTCTTCTTCTTTGGTGCTTCTGTACTAACTTCAGCTCTTACACCTGTCTCTGCTTCTTGTTTTTTCTTTTGAGCAATGATTGAAAGAACTCTTTGTTCTTCTTTCTCAAGTTCGACTTCACGAGCAACTTCAGAGTAAGATCTTGATTCGGTATCATTGTTTTCTGAAAATGCATCTTTACGAGTGGGTGAAAGCATACGATTGAATCTTCGTTGTTGATATTCATTTTGTCTTCCTGCTATAGTACGTTCTCTCATAGAAGCGGCAAATGGATCGTGTGAATCTGCTCCTTGAACTGCTTCATTCAAGAATTCTTTAGAAGCAGTGTATGAATTTAATTTACGCCTTGTTTCTTGATAAAGATCGTCATCTTCATTCTCTTCATCTTCATTTGTTGGTATAGATGTTACATATCCAGAATATTTATCAGTTGTATAGAGATCAGTGTCATAAGAAACACCTGTTAAACTTGCATGTTTTTCATTATTAAGAACTGCTTGACTAATATCTTCCTCAGTAATTAGTTTACGCTTTGCTTGAGCAGCCTTAATTTCTTTCTCAACGTCTATTAAAATATTTAATATAGATTCTAATACATTTGTATACTTTTTTACCATCAGCCATTTTATTCTTTTTTTAATCAATAAGATAAAGAAGCTTTTTTTTTTCTCTCTCAGTCTCTCTTTGCTGTGTCTGCGCCTCTTGCAGTCTAAAAGTGACGTAGTCATTTTGGCTTTTAAAGTCCGTTATTCAATGGAGGGGGTGTTAAAATTTTACTTTTTAGAACCCTTCAAAGGAGGCAGCCTTACAATTCTTTAAATTTAACCCCACTCTTTACCATCAATGACTGCATCTAAAGATTGTCTCTTAGACTCAGGAAAGACAGCTGGTATTTCCGCTGGTCTCGGTCTCCTTGTCTCTGCCATGCAAAATACTGTCGAGAAACATCATTCAGGCGCCAAAGGTGTCTTTACCAGAACTGGTGGAACAATTGCAATTTTCGGTAAATCAGTGTAAATGAATGTCATTGACGCAAGACACGATTTGCTAAATACAATAATAATAGCCGCTATGGGTGGTATTTTCACTCTTGGTGAATGTGTAGCTAAAGATATTCGCAAAGAGGATGATGCTTTAAATGCAGCAATTGGTGGATGTGCAGCTGGTTTCTTGGCTGGTGTTAGAAGTAAGGGAGATAATATGGGAAAATGCTTATATTCTAAACATTGTACTTGTGATTAGCTCATTCATTTGGTAAAATGGCTCTTGGATGTCTCGCCATCGGTGGTTCCATGTATGCTTTTGAAAGCACAGGAGGATTGAAGGGACAATTTGCTGATAAGAATAGACAAGAAAAGAAGGAATACGAAAAGGCCTTTTTCAAGGAAACATAAAAAGTGTGTTGTACGTCGCGAATGTAGTTTATTAATAAATAAAGTGTTTTGCTCTTCTTTTTTTTTTTCTTTTTTTTTTCTTTTTTATTCTGTGACATGCTGCAAGTAACCGGCTTTGATAAGAGATTCTACGTCAGTTCTACGTACATGTAACTGATTGCCCTTGACAAGGTTCAATATACCATATTCAGTTGTAATCTCACCAGCATCGCGAATGACACGGACTTGAATGAATAAATCCTTGGGAGGATCAAGTCCAACCCCACCATTACCTCCCAAGTCAATGTCTAAAAAGTGTTGTTTGTATGCATTCACTAGTTCTACGTAACCCTCCAAGAATTGATGTTCTCCTGGACCTAAACTTGCTCTAATTTCCTTTTGATGTTCAGACTGTAAACCAACATTCCAATAAATCTCTTTAAGTTTATTGATGCGCTGACGATGATATGCAAATAATACACGCTTGTTTCTTTTCGTAGCTAAATGATAAAGCATGACTTGTGATATTTTACTAGGATCTCTTGTGATGTTTGGATCCATACTAGCCTTCATATTCTCGACAGTTGTTTTTGCTTTATTATGGAATAAACGGTTTTCTCTACATAATGTCTGAACAAGGTCATCATTGTAAGGTGTAACTAATAAGTCTGATGTACGCTTGGCTTCCTTTGCGAGTTTATATGCTGCTTCACCCAGTGATGACATTTAGTTTTATTTATTTACATTAAGAAGCAACCTCACGCACAGGAACTCTCACCCCATTTTTATACATCGCGTAGGAGCGCGCGCCTGTTTAATTTCACAAAATTTTCACGCGTCATGATTTCACACCAAACTATGGCTGTACTACTACTACAGTCACACTGAACTAGTGTTCGTACTATGCAAAACAAAGCTTTTTTTTTTGGATCAATTTACATTTTAGTACGAAATTCAATTGTGTACTACTATTATTATTCATGTTTATTGCTTTAAGGGATTAATATAGTATCGTTTGCTTGAATGGCAGATGTATCAAGCAGATGCAGCATATTCTTGTTGGCAAGATAAGAATGAATGGATGTGCGCTTACTTCTTTGGAACAAGACATAAAGAGATTGAATGGCCACAATGGCTGCATCTTTGTGTGTATCCCAGGCATCAACGGCATCATTACACAGAATATCCAGCACTCTTTCTTGTGTTTCGTTGTCGATGATTTCAAGCAATTGCAAGTTACCAGGTGAATAGTTAGATAGATCAATGTACTGCAGGAAAATGACCAAGGCGATATACAAATTGCTACGAATATCAATCGTAATAACACGCTTGCAAATGAATTGAATGATACCATAGAATGTTTGTCGAAGCCTTTCGTTTGGTAAACTAAGATAAGTTGTTGATGTATCATTGTCTGTTTTTAGTCTTGCCAATAGGACGACAATAAGCTCGCTCATGTTTCGTAAAACAACTCTTTCTTGATAACTTTCTTCTTCTAGCTTATTCCATAGAGTCGAAAGTAAATCATAGGCGATCTTTTCTCGAATAGGGCGAGAGAGCGAATCGAAGCAGTCGAGTAAGCTAACTTCAACTAGTTGCTTCCATGCTTGAAGGCAACGTAAGCGGCTTGATTTGATTTGGCGACTTCTATTTTCAGCCATTAAAGTCTGCAAGATATTTCCCATTTCTTCTTCTATTGCTATAATCTCTTGTTCAGGTATAGTGCCTCTGCTGAGCATTTCCTTTTGAGTCTGTCTAAGATATTTATAAACGCTGCGGATATCAAAGAGTTTACAATGACTTGCCAGGTCATCCGTTTCATAGTCCTTTGGCTTAAAGTCTTTAAAGTAATTTTTGGTGATATCTACAGAGGCAGGCCCCAGATTATGATCTTGCCAATAAAACTCGAGTGAACTCGTAATCTCTAGCAGGTTCCAGTGTGGCTGTTGATAGTCACCAGACATTTGAATGCGTAGTGAGCCGAATCGATCACTCAAGCTGTTTGTGACGTCCAGTGAGCTGTAGGTATCATGGCCATAAAGTGACTCCAATAGAGATGCAGTGCCTGTCGTCTTACGAACATGAAGTTCTAATGCCAGCAGTTTGAGCAGCCATGCACGCTGGTTAAGCATGGACTTTAAAGTAAAGAAATCTGTTTGAACTCCATTTCCTGCTGCGTACTTGATAGTGCCCGCAAAGTGTTGCTCAATTGCAACCAGACTAGTATCAACTCTAGGCACAATAAACCGAAGTTGATTAACCAAAAGATCATCTCCATTAGCTCTTATATAGTGCAGAGTAGCAGTTGATGTTGATTCTCTAGAACAAAGCTGATGGAGTAAATAGTAACATTTTTCGGCAACTAATGGATGAACTTCTACAGAGTTTTGACCTTGTTTCAAAGAATTGGATTGCTGTGAATTGTAAGTTCGCAGTATGTTTAGTATAGAAAACAAGCAGCTCAGCCTAGTATCTTGTTCATATGAAGTAAGGATAGACTTTTGTTGTGAGCCCTTTTCTACAATTTCTTGAACATCGTAACCAAGCAAGAACTCGGACAGAGTGGGTGACGGCTGATCTTTATGAAGGGAGGAAATAAGCATATCCAAAATAGCAATACGTATGGAAGGATACTGATGCGTCACTCCAAGAACATCTTCATCTTCATTGCTATAGTCGTAACCAAGGGTCTTCTCAGCACGCCAGAATGGAATTGTATTGATATCATAATTATAATTATCATAGCTTATGTTCTCCATGCTTTCAACATCCAAACGTTCACTAATACCCAATATGATCGAAGCTGCTTCATGACTTGAAGATAGAATACCAGGTAGCTGCTGACCAATACCGCCCATCGGCAGGTTAACATAATTGGGGAATTGCACCTTGTCAGGGTTTGCATTGGGTTGTAAAGCAAGAGCGCGTAAAATGTTGATACTTAGGATAGATATTTCTTCGCTTTCATCAGAGACCAAAAGTGCTATTTGTGTAATGATTTGAGTGTTAAATAGCATCGTTCTTCCCACAGAAGTCAAGTTGGTTGTCACTTGTGGAAAGACATAGCTGCCAAGTTTAAGTTCTCCTGCAGGTAACTTTTCTGAGCACATGTTGAGCTGAGGTAATAGCACGCTTACAAATGCATTTTGTATTGTCATGGCTTTGTGTATGATACGAAGGCATCGAGTAAGCGATGTTCTAAAGTAATGATTTCTCTTGGCTCTTGATCCTTGCACTTCGTTTGTTCTGTTCCCATTCAAGCAGATGATCCTGTATAATTCATTAACAAGCGAGCCACCGGATAGGATGCGCACCATAACGTCAAATCCTGGATGTGTAATGTAAGCAATCAATGCATCTCGGGTTCCTCCTGATTGAAATGGTTTTAACTGTGGAGTGCTTGAATCTCTCAGGATGCTCATGTAGTCTTCGTTACCGACAGTCAAGCCAGAAGATTGACTTATCAATTGATTTACATGGTCACAAAGTGGCTCTAAATCAAATGACATGATGCTGTTTTCTACTACTTTCAAGCAAGCGTCGGTCAACTGCCATTTGTTATTGGGATTTGTAAACTGCAAATTGTTGAGACTCAAGAATATATGATCGATAACCAGAGAAAGGTATGGTGCAGTTCCAGGTGAGCGATGTTCGCTTCCTAAGCAAGGTGGAATAGAGGGCTCAGCCATGGAATAGCCTGAGATAAGAATGTCCTTTTCGCTTTGTTTATGAATAAGGGAGGCCATTAGTTTGAGAATACTAAGAGTTCTTGTGTATGACATGCTGTTTTTCTCTGAATCAAACTCGATCAAGAAGCCGGATGACTGATCAGGAAGTAAGAAGCGAGTCGCAGGAGTTGAAAGTGTGTTGTTCGCAACAGGAACGGGCTCTGGAGCATTCAAGCTTGCCAAGCTACCAAGAAATGTTTCGGTCGCTGTAGTGCTGGGAGGAGTAACCGTAGGAGCAGCTACCATTCTCTTGTCTGATAAAATAAGATCAGATATCTCCAATGTGCTCCAAACCTCAATTGAGATCCGTTTTCCAATTCCGTTGATGCCACCACCCCAAGAGGAACAGAAGGCTGCCAAAAGGCTATAGAGTCGTGCACGTAAATCTACAGATGTTGGGCAACTGATCATTCTCACAATAGACTCATGTGGCCTAAGCAAACGGTCTTCCCAAATGGCAATTCTTGCTGTCGAAGAGTACTGTACCACTTGCTGACAGAGATGCAATAATGAGCATAGGACCTGTTCTTCTGTCTCAGGGATCGAAGGACATTCTTCACCAGGGAGAGTGCCGTATATCTCAGCGGCATAAAACTGAAGGGTGGCAAACAGTTTTCCCCAGGAAAATAAATGGCTATTGCTGATGTCTGCCTGACTGGTCCCCATAGACAAGACTTCATATGCGTAAGAAGCGCATTCATCGCCGGTAGAAATTGACGCCAAAAAGTCAAAGGCAGCACGAACTGTGCCAACAACTTTCAAATCAAATAGCCATTTCACAAAGGCGAATAACCCATGCTCTCGCTTCCAGTATCTGTTTCCAGCGTTCAAATGGCCTCTGTAAATAGATGCAAGTAATGTCAAGAAGGCTTCTAGGTTTTGCTTTTTGGCGCTATCTTTTACGTAGTCGGTATGAGCGTCGTTCGAATAGCCTACTTGATAGATCGCATCCTCTTCTTCAGTTTTCAATTGGTGCAGCTGTGAGGATAGTCTGAGGATGAAGAGTTCTGCAAAGTATTCAAGCTGGTGTACGACAATCAACTGAAATTCAGGTGCAATGTCTGCGTAGAATTTAGAATAGTCGCTTGGATCAACAGTTAATCCGTCGATGACCATGGTTGATTCCCCATCTGAACTTTCCTTTACTTTATTCATATCCGGACTTGTTCCGTTCTCCTGCTTAAAGTGTAGTAAATATTGATTCAAGAATCCAAAAGCATCCAACTCGATGCCTTTCTTTAATAATGACGTAGTACTTTGTTCATCTAGCTTGAATGGGCTGCTGATCCCTAAGCCTCTTACCCTGGCATTGAACATAGACCACTGCAGTAATACAGCGCCTTTGACACCATCCACCTTCCATTCTTTATCAACAATAGCTTCGTGCATCTTTTTCATTGACTCTTGGTTTTTCCAAAAACTCGTTCCATGACGTGACTGATCCTCCAAATATTTAGGTGAAATAACAGCCAGGAGAGCAACCAAGAGATAGGGAGCAGTAGGATTTAGCAGTGTGGTAGTTCGAACAGTGTCTATGAGTGATAGCACATCTGCTTCCGATAGCCATAATAAAGATGCAATATGGTATAAAACCTGCGCAAGCAATATTCTCTCTTCGTTTAACTGGCTAATTCTAAATGACAGTGTGCCTTCACACAGTTTCACTTGTTGAGACATGGTATCCTTGTTGATCGTTTTTATCGCTGTATTCATATTTTGAAGAGATTTGAGAATTTTGCTGACAAAGGAATCCGCTTCTTTCAGATAAATGTCTACCATAAAATCAAGAAATATACAACGAATATGTTTGTCGATTTGATGATCGTTTATACTTTCTAAAATGGTATTCAAGATGGTCAGAACGTAGTCGCGTTCTGTATGATACAAATAGATAGCGGTATCGACTGCTGGAGCAAAGGTTTTGTTGGTCCGACGCGTTCCTTCCAGTAATAATCTTGAAGATTCGTATTCGTCCAAGTTGAGATGATCTGAAAGGAATATTGCTTCTTTGGTGAATTCTTTGTTGATTTTGTATTCAATTGTGTTGATGATTGCCTTTCCTACATTAAAAATTGGCTTAGCCATAACCACAATCATATCAAGCCATGTTTACCGCTTTCAATGGTGGATCTGTGTTGAGAATTCTTGGGTGGATCATCGAGTAGTTTGACCAACTTTGGCTTATATTCTTGTAAAATGTGTTCTAATCGTATAGCAGCCTGTGGGGGTATACGTCTTGCTTCGCAAACCCTGTTAAGGAGCTCACGTAGCTCGCCTGCTTCTGTCGGTTGCATTCTTTGTTGTATGCTCAGCCAAAAAAAAGAAAAAGAAGGGTAAAAAAATTTAAAAGCAAACGCGCGACACCTCTACCTTCAAAAAAAAAAAAAAAGACAAGACGGAGTCACACAGTGTTTAATAAATTGTCTAGAGTTACTGTTGAAGAAAAAAAAAAAGCTTCTTGATTAGCATTTCAACAGTTCATCAGCACCTTTTGTTCCTTTCTGTTTGTTGTCATATGACGTCGACAAACTCAAAAGAAAGATTAACAAGCAAGACCTCAAGTTGTGTGATACAACCCACGATATTGGAATACAATGGATCTATCTTTGAATATTCAGCTTATAAACCCCCTATGAGATTTTTAAGAGATTTTGATTCAATATTCCCACAGTTAAGCTCACGTCAAAAGGCACAGCTACTTGTTGTCCCGGTGATACAGAAATGTGAGCATGACATGGTTGGTTTATCAAAGGAAGTCAATGACGAAAGAGATATAAAACTTGAATTAGTAAAAAAAAAGGAGGGGATATAATGGCGATATGAAAATAACATATTCTCTTTTTTTAGTTTATTAGTTGGGGCCGTCGTGTAGTTGATAGAATAAAATCTGTGGGTATGTGGGCAGATATGATGGACCCTGCTTCCGGATTTCCTGTAACTATAGTTATAGTAACAATAATAACAATAAAATAATCTTTCTTTTTATATAGGTATTTAGTCATCCTGGATCAAGTCCTTATCCTGATGTACAAGGAACAATTATGCTTGACTCAAGATTTGATATACAAAATGTTGGATGTTGTCATATATTATTACATCCAAGCTGGGGCAGTCACATATATCCATCTACTTTATTTACAACAGCACCTGCAGATGTATTAGAAAAGATATTGCTTGGTTTATAATCCATTTGGCTCTTATGTCATTATTATTGTGGCAAATTCATGCTGAAATTGGCTGTTTGTCGTTGTTTCAAAAAAGAAAAAAAGTAATTTCATGAAGTAATACCTCTCTCTCTCTCTTTTTGTCTCTGTTTCTCTTTCTCTTTCAAGTACATAAAAGATGGATAGCTTGAATGTAAATGATACCACGGCTTCTAAGCGAAGGTCACACTCCAACACGGTCTCTGGTGGTCGACCACCTGCATTAGACATTAGTCTGGCTCGTCCACCGAATATTCGAAGAAACTCAGAGGGATCACCCAATGTACCGCCTATTCAGGTATCAGAACCAACACCTATTGAACCCTCTGTTAATGCTCAACATGGTTTCTTTAAGGAAGGTGAAATAAGTCGAGCGTCTTCACCTAACCAAATGAGCAGTACTACAGATCATTCTCCACAATCCGGACCCAAGGTCAATAACAGCTCAGCCATAAGTTTATTAGAGTCAGCTACAGCCCCCAAAAAAAAGTCTCGTTCGAGAGCATCGAGTCTGACATCTAACCTGATAAATGAAATCAAGGAAAACCCGACTATTCAAAAAGTATCCACCACTTTGGCACAAAAGATAAAGCCACGACAAAACTCAGACAACACGAACGGTGACAGAAGTTCGATTGATGGCGGCAACTCTTATGCTGCTCCTAGTAGTGCCAGTACTTATGACTTGGCAAGCGTCAAGAGAAATCAGGATTTCCATTCCCTGTTTCGAAGTGTCCCTGAAGACGACTCTTTGATAGAAGGTAAAGAAAAAAAAAAGCCTATCTTTCTGCTTATAATTCGTTTTAACTTAAATATGCGATAGACTATGGCTGTGCCCTACAAAAGGAAATATTACTGCAAGGTCGTATTTATGTCTCTGAGAATCATTTGTGCTTTAATGCAAATATATTTGGTTGGGTTACAAATGTAAATAAGCTTTACTTGATCCGTTACTTCGCTGTTGTCTTAATTGTTTATATTAGCTTGTCATCGCATTTGCTGACATCACAAACATTGAAAAGAAATCAACCGCTTACTTTATCCCAAATGCCATTCAGATATCAACAGAGAGTGCAAAGGTAACCCATATAGAAAGCAGATCACACAATAGACTGACACATGTTTCATTTAGTATTTCTTTGCTTCATTTCTTTCTAGAGACCAAGCATATGATCTCATGGTAGAAATATGGCATAACTGTAGACCAGATCTGTTTCCACCCAAAGAAGATGAACTTGACGAGTGTGATGAAGAAGAAGAAAGCGAATCAGTGGAAGATGGTGACTCGGACTACGATTCAGATACGTCATCTGAGGGTGATGATATAGAACCAGAGGATACAAATAAGCAAGGTATGTGATATATCATTTGATACAATCAAGCTAATTATTACCTGAAATAGCTACAGTGCAAACGACAACAAAAGATGTAAACGGATCAGAAAGTAATACAAATCATCAAGATGGTCCCGAGGCAGCTTCCTCAACAGCACAGTCAAACAAGGCTTCAGAAAAGACAGCCAAAGGGAATCAAGTGCCAATGAATGGTACTAAAAAGGCAGATGAGGAACCATTCAATCAGTTACATGAAAAGACAAAATGCGACTGTCAGGAACACTATCCCAACACGGTGCTCGATATGACTTATCGTGGAAGCCTTGAAAAGATTTATAAAACGCTATTTCATAGTGATTTTCTTGAAACGTTTCTATTGGACAACCAAAAGAGTACAGGTAAAATAAGCACTACAAGTGTTGAAATAAAAATAACCGTTATTATCAGAATTAAGTATTGGAGATTGGAAGCCAGGAGAGGGAGATGTCAAATCTGTTAGGGAGTTATCATACATAAAACCCTTGAATAATTCACTTGGCCCAAAGTCTACAAAATGTTATCTGACACAGGAGATCCTTCACGAAGATTTTGATAATTATGTCACTGTATTGGTCACTACAAACACTCCTGATGTGCCCTCTGGTAGCGCGTTTTGCTGTAAAACACGTACTTGCTTTACGTGGGCGGGAAAGCAGAAAGTAAGAGTGATGGTCACAGTTGCTGTAGAGTTTTCAAAATCCTCTTGGTTAAAGTGTAAGTAGACATGTGCAAGAATAGTTCAAGCAATTGACTGTTTATATAGCAACTATTGAAAAAGCAAGTATAGAAGGTCAACAAACGTACTACAAGGATCTTGACGCTGCCCTTCGTACATACTTTAAAGAGCATCCATCTGAATTTGGCGCATATGAAGAAAAGACAGAGAGAAAGAAAAGACAGAAGCGTAAGGGGCGAAGATCAGCAAAGGCAACTGTGCAACAAGAAGATAAAGATATAGTATCACAGCCTGAATCAAAAGGGTTCATGGACAATTTGATTAGCCATATCACACGAGCCACTCAATCTGCCAGTGCCAGTCATTTCATGATCTTTTGCCTGGTTCTAATGGTCATTACCAACATATTTATTGCTAGAAAAATGTCCTTTATAGAAAAACAACTCGATGAAATTTGTAACATTATACCACGTCATGACAGAGTTTCGCGAAGTAACGAACAAGTATCCATGCCACAAAAGCAGAGCTATGACACAAAAGAGCAACAAGAGCTCTGGGAATGGCTAAGTCGCTTAGATCCTGAAAAGACAGCCTCAGAGAAGCCGATACTTTTGGCCACTCATACATCGGAAGGAAAAGAGAGTGAATGGGATGATGCTATATATCTATCAAAGTCAACTAAAGACAGATTGGATAAGCACATATCTGAGATAAGCAATTTGATACATGAAGCAGAGAAAAACCTAAAAGATGTTACGGAATCAGTGAATTTGCAGCGGCAAAAGCTTGAAAAATGATAATAATAATAATAAAAGGAGCCTATGTATAATATAGACTGTAGTGGCCAAAGAATGAAATGCGCTGATTATTGCCGCATGACGTTGTTTAATGCTCCTTAAGCAGCAGAAAGAAAGAATTATATTGTCAAATCTTGTTCAAGATAGGTATTCCTACCAAATCATATGAACATGACTTTGCCAGTCTTATCTTAGGTTGGCGTATGACCCGAGGGTTCAGGGTAGTACTTGTGCCATCTACATTAATACACTTTCCCTTAACGATTCGTGGGATAAAAATCAAAATGCATAAAGGTGAGAAAGTCTTTCTTCGCTTTTAATTTATCGTTTCATTCTATAAACATAGTAATATATCCTTTACAAGGTAAATCGCGAGAGATAACATAGAGTTATACTGATCTACGCCAGGCAGATGCATATAAATCAAGAAGATGATAAACTTGATGTTCAGCATATAGAATCAAACCAACTAGACGCTGATGCTCAGCGTTTACAAGATTTGGGTTATAAACAAGAATTCAAAAGAGAGATCAGTTTATTTGTGCAAGCTGGATTTGCTTTCTCAACGATGGCTGTTCTTCCTAGTTGGTATGATTTATCCCTCAAAAAACGGCGCTTGAAGAAATTAAGGAGATTATTTGTAGGATGGTGGGATTCGGCCCAAGTATTAGCGCAGGTGGACCCTCTTCCTTGTTTTGGGGATGGCTTATTGTCTCACCCTTTGTTATGTGTATTGCATTATCAATGGCGGAAGTCATATCTGCCTATCCTTTAGCTGGTGGTGTTTATTCATGGTCATTACTACTAAGTAACGAGAAATGGGGACCATGTAATACTAGGATATAAAAATGATGACGCGTTACTTATTGATCTCTATAGTCATGGCGTGGATTAATGGATACGCCTATCTGATTGGATTAGAAACTGTCACCATCACACTAGCATGGACTAGCTGTCAGTTCATATTTGCCATATCAAATACTCTAAACATAACACAAGTTTCCTCACAAGGCGCATATGTGGGGTTGTATGTTGCCCTCATGGTGCTTGGTACACTCTACAACCTTTTAGGCATAAAGTACAGCACTTACTTGAACAAATTTATGGGTAAATTGTGTGCTCAACTGTCTCAAATAACTCATAAGTTGTGTAGTCATATGGGTCCTCATTGGTAGTTTAGTTATTATCGTTGGCGTTCCGGCCCTAGCTCCTACTCATAAGACAGCTAAATGGGTCTTTACAGAGTTCTCAAACAATACAGGGTACAACAACAATGGTATGGTATTCCTCATTGGTCTTTTACAAGCAGGGTGGGCGTTAGTTGGTTATGAATGTGGAGCTCAGATAGTTGAAGGAACCAGGAACGCTGCGACCACGGCTCCGCGTGGGATCATTATCTGTGTCTTGAGTGCAATATTTCAAGGTTTTGTTCTTATCATTTCAACTCTCTTCTCAATTCAAGATGTAGACGAATTGCTCACATCAGAGGCACCCGTGGCTACTTTCTTTTTACGCGCAACAAGCAATCCATCTGTCACTGCTTTCTTTTTAGTCATTTTGCTCGTTGCCCAAATCGGTTCACTCTGTAACTCTATTTTAGCTGCAGCTCATATTGCTTGGGCAATGGCTCGCGATGGATGTCTTCCGTTTTCCAAGTTTCTTTATAAGCTTTCGGGAGATAATCATATTGCTGCAAATTGCCTGATCGTCCAATTGATCATTTGTATTCTTATTATCCTTCCTGTAAGCTGCCTTTTTTATATATATTATCAAATTGAAAAATTACTCATACGAACTCTAGTCGTTTGCATCTACCATTTACTGGCAAGCCATTATGAGTACAGCTGTCATCTCTGTCAATATTTCCTATGGTTTGCCACTACTCTGTCGACTTGTATGGGCTCGTAACAAGATGCCAAAGGGACCATTTAGTCTTGGTAAATTTGGTTTACCGCTCAATGCGATCAGTGTTGCCTGGGTCTGTTTCTTTGGTATCATCCTTTGTTTTCCTTCTGTTTCTCCAGTCACAACCAAGACGATGAATTGGGCATCATTAATGATAGGTGCAGTCATGACCTTTTCAGTCATCTTTTGGTTCATCAGTGGACGACATAAGCATATCAGGACAATAGAAAAACAATAAACATAAGTTTTTACGTAATTGCACCCTTAAAGAAATCGCCTTTTATGTTTAGAGTGCAACTATGAGCCTCCATTTTTGGGGGGAAAATCTCAACTGTGTAAAAAAGATTGTAGGTCGTGCCTTCCACAATTGCCGTTGCCTTCATTCCGGCCTCGAACGTGGTTATGCTCGTGGTAACTACTCCAAACACAGTGTTGACTGTATCGGGCCCACGTTTGTGCTGATTTCTTGGTTGGTAGTAATAGTCTGTGAAGGTGTTGCTTGTCAATCTCCAGTTTGCGTGCAGTTTACTGCCTTCATGCTTGCTGCGAATCGCAAAGAACTTCCTTGTATTGACACCAAAATCCTCCATCATGCCTTTCATGTATCTTTGGATTTTACTCCTGAGTTCCTTACTGGAAGAGATTCCCAGCCCCTTGAGAATTTCACCTGGTAAGGTGTATTCACGCCCTGCTTTTCTGAGTGGCGTTGTATAAGTCCAGTGATTTGTGTCTCTGAAAGTTCATAGTTAGACACTAGTACCACGATACGCGGCGTAGAAAGATGTAAAAGGAACAATAAGAAACGCTTTATATTTTATTATATTACTGAGAATAAAATACGGCTAGAAAGCCTATAGCCACATCCGAGGTCATAGTGGAGACAGCGGCAATTGAGGCAGGCACGACCCACAATTTACCAGTTGCACAGTATTATATGCTGTATGGATAACAAAAACAAAACACACAATGACAATTAATGTATATTAGCAGTGTCTATTGAAAGAATAGGAAACACGACTCTTACATGTTGTATATTCACATATATCATACGCTTTAATAAACTTGAGCTGCAGAAAATTATAAAGGCAAGACTGTCAAAGATCAAATGTTGTCCATTTACTACGCAATTTTGACTGTCCCTTTTAAAAATACACATCAATGAAAAGAAGGATTTTCTCTCTTTCTTTATTTTCTTATGCCAATTTCTAGAAGAAGGCCACTATTAAGAACCTGTGATATTGCCAATAGTCGTACAGATTTTTTTGACTATATTGGCATGGTTGTCGCTATCCATGAGTTTACTCCAAACAAAATTATCATCACCTTGACTGATTTCACAGAGAATCCACAACCTTATGAAAACACGTATTTATCAGTTGACTATAAATTGGTAATTCAAGCGACAGTCTGGGACAGAAATACAATACCAGCTCGTACTTTGTCTATAGGCGATTTCGTTTTACTGGAGGACGTGATGAGAAAGAATGTAAATGGAGTCCTCGCATTCACTTTACATGGCAAAAGCATTGACCGTCTCTTTGTTCATAAACTTGCAAGATCCGACACACGATTGAGAGATCTATTGGAAAGAAAACAAGCGTATGAAGAAAAAAGTCTCATTGAGACAGCAAGAGAAGAATAACCTGTTTATCAGCCAACTATCATTGACTCTGTTAAAATAAATAAAGTCCCATATATGATTATAACCTTTAGATATTTTTAATTTTCTAAACAGAATAAATACATGCAAATATGACAACAACAGAGACTACCCATATGCAGCCTTTCTTTTTATCTTCTACCAGAGTTTCTGGCTTCCTTTTCAAGATTTTCTCTAAAGGCTTTTATGAATTCTCCTCCTGTCTTAGCACCTGTGAGAATAATAAAAAAAATTAAATCATGTCAATGTTTTTACTGCGAACAATTTACCCTTTTCAGTGATTGTAGAAACATGCTGATGTGTTTTAGCAGCCATACGGTTGAATAAAGGACTTGCTAAAAGGCGTTCAGTAATAAAACTAGAAAACCAAAAGTTGACGATTTTTTGAAACATGGTTAAAGATTTAAAGAAAAAAAAAGTGTGGAAATATTCCAGGGCATTTCGCACTTCAAATTCAGACAATGTTCGTTTTTTTTTTTT